TAGCTTTAGAAATGGAACTTCCAATACTTTTGTTTATTTCTTTCATTCCATTTGTATGTAAACTAAGAATTTTCGAGCAGCAACAAATCTTCTACATCCATTTGGGCTGTAACGTGAACTGACGAAAATCGGCTACAGTGGACGACGGCGTTCGGCTATATTGCCGGTCGTCCGTTTGGTCAAATAGTTCGGCTGTTGAACGGCCGTCGTAGTTCGGTTACAATGGACGAGCAGCCAACCCTAATGCCCAAACCTAATCTCTCCTAGAAACCCGTCGTGAAGCTTTAAACGACGATGGCCTCGAGATCTCCTCACCCTTAATCCGATAACAGACCGAGTGCTTATGTTTCTTATGACACGTATCTTTCTGGTGTAGTGCTGACCGTAGTGCTAGCGTAGTGTTCACACTAAAGCCATCTAATATATCCTCCGAATCGAAAGTCATCGGACAAACTGACAAAGCTCTTTACTACTCTTCACTATACACAATGATCTTAACACCCCTTTTGCAAGGAACTCTCCGTTCAAGCTTCCAAAGTTTCGAAACATGTTAGATCCATCCTAACCCTACTGGCCAAGCCTACACTTTCCCCGTAAAGTACGATGGCCTAGAGACCTCCTCGCTCCTTAATCCGACAACAGATTGAGAGCTTATGTTGGCTGACTTCTTATAACAGTCTTTCTGATGCAGTGCTGGGAGTAGTGCTAGAGTATTGTTCGTACTAAAGGCTCAGAATCAAAAGAACTTAGATAAATTGTCAAAGGTCTTTCTACGTAGGTAACTTCACTATCCACAACGACCTCAACATTTCTTCCAGCAGTTACGTCCCATGCTTGCGTCCATTCTAATCATACTACCCAATCCTCTCGTTCTCATCATGAAACCCCACCATGTCGCCTTATTCGACGATAGCTTGGAGAGCTCCTTGTCCCTTAATCTCTCACACTGAGTTTCAGCGATGTCTTTAGTGTTAATGCCGGAACTGCGTGAAAAACATATTGTCATGACATTTGAAATATGTACAGGCTGCAAATAAAAATAAACAAATTTAAAAACAAATTGTAAGTAATTGATGTTTTTAACTGTGTACACTAGTTAAACCTAGTGTTGCAAAGAAAATTTTAAAAAAATTCTCAAATTTGACGTGTGCAAACGGGAAGTCAATTTGCTCACTCTGGCGAATGACTCACCGTTGTCACATCTCGGTTTTTTCGCTCCATTTCGGTTTTTCAGAATTTCGGCTTCCGCGCACATTCGCTAATTGAAACGCAAACAGCCTCCGGCTACCAGCCACCTTCATTTCCCCACACATCCATCCTTGAAGTGTACTTATCCAGAGGAAATACTTTGACAATGATGGAAAAAACGTGTGATCCTAAAAAGGACGTCGCGTAGTGGGGACGCTTGCTCAATAGCCGAATACGTCTCGATATAAACCCAGTGACCGGACACTACCGCCGAACCTTCGCTGAAGAATACACCATCATGTCTCGATTCGTTTTTGTAAGTATTGTCTTTTTGCAATGATACATTGATAAATCATAAAACGCGAGATCATCCATCATCAATCACATAATATAATGACTGCGAAAATTTATATTCAACCATGATTGTTTTTAAATAATTTTACCCTCTGCTTCTTAATTTCTTGAAATAGTGAACTTTTAAATCTTAAGACTCCCGTACACCAATCACAGAAAGGCCTGAATTTTTCTTTAGCTGAAAATCTTTGAAATCATAGATCCAGTCTATATGGACTCGTTAATATTTGCCACTCAAATTAACGCTAAACATTTATAAATATTTCATCGAAAATGTAGGAAAAATATTAAGCTGTTCTAAGACTAGGTAAACTTTTTAAAAAATTTAAATTTCATGGGAAATATCCAATATGTTTTTTAAGTTTTTTAACATAGTTAACGATAGCTTATGCTTGCTTCTACAACCTAAAGTTTTTCATAAAATTTTATTTTTATTGTCAATGTTTTGACACCCTATTCTTTCATACTTACAAGAAGTGCAAGCCTTATTGGATGGAGACAATAAATGAGCAACAAAGTTCCATTCCCCCCCCCCCCATTGACTTCGGCTGGCAGATCTTCAACATGCTAATTTTCACAAATCAAATACTATTTGGCCTTTTATTCCTTATTATTTTTCTGTTTCTTTTCAATTTTGTTTATTTGTACACCAATAATTTTTTTAATCTTGATCCTTTCTTCTCCTGATCAAGAAATTTCATTTCTTTTACAACAGAAACCAAAGCATTTTTATTATGCTTTTTTATTATCCAGGAGGTTCAGTGGTACAGTCCTAAAATTATTACCATTACACTTTCAGGACTACTGAGGCTGTTTTTTGTAATTATCTTATATTTCGTTATAGTTTGGTTATATTTGAACATCCAGGTTTTGTTTTGGTCTGCCAAGAGCGATTAAGTATTTCACCATCTTCAGTGTTTTTCGTTTTATTCGTAACAAATGGTGTGTGGTTCAATCACTTAAACCACTGAACACAGCAAGGATAGCAAGGGCCAGAATGAAAACGACTCAAATACTGGTCTATCACCCCGCTGAAATCGTACAATTCACATCTAGTCAAGCTAAGTGACTTATAAATAAGATTATTTAAAAAAAAGGAGGAAACTTAGCAAACATTTGTTTTAACAATTGCCTTGAGAGCAATTTAACACCAAATTCGCACGACTAAAACAAATACTCCGGATAAATTGCTTCATAGAAAACACGGATAAAAAGAGAAATCAAGATTTCTTGCATAAAAAATAGAAAAAATAATAAATTAAATAAAAAGATCTTAGTAAGATTAAACATCTTAATTTCCACTTAGAAACCAGCAAGAAACCAACATCAGTCATAGGCTTTCTGGACAAAACAAGCAAAAATAACATTTTATTGGGTCCGTCTACACTCGCGGGTTTTTGAATTACTCAACGCGGTTCGGCATTGCGCTATCTTCAGTGAAGAAGTGTTCTTAACTCCTCTGACAGTTCCTCACTGAGGATGGCGCAATGCCCAAACAGGTTTGAGTAATTCAAAAACACGCGAGTATAGACGGACCCAATAAGTAAATCAGGTTCAACATCTTTTCACCGACTGACAGACCAACCTTCAAAAAAATAATAAGCATTTTGGAAAGAATAGTTCTCAAACTGGTTTTAAGAACTATACGGTTTTCGAGCATTAAATTCTCATCATCAGGCTGAAATGTACAAAAACTATAAAAAATGGATAAATTAAAAAAAAGATGTATGAAACACTTAAAAATACTTATAAATACAACACAATTTCAATAAAATTTTACCCGAGGATTATTCATTTTAACAAACGTATATTATTGTTTAGGCAAATTCAAAAAGCTTGTAGTTCCAGCAGATTTTCCTTATTTTTGGAAGACGCCTTTCGCTCACTTTGTGAGCATCATCAGCCTTCGTTAAAACAAAACAGAATAGAAATAACACAAAAACTGTTATTTTCAAACTCTCAGCATTCACACATGTATCATTCTCTCTGACAGTCAGGCGGCACCTAAGGTCTCAGCCTCATGCGAAGTAAAGGCAAAAAGCTTATGGAATGGTATGAAATCCCTGGCAGAAATCAGTGACAACAATGTCCTGACCCCAGATGGGTCCCTGGGCATTCGGGACATAGAGCCTATGAGAAAGACACTTGCTAAAAAAAAAAAAAAAAAAGGTGCCAATAGGAATTCTCTAGGCCCCGAACTCTATTCTGGTCTTGAACCTTGTCACAAAAAAGCTTACATCCTAAAATGAGTCCAAAACTTGGTTAAACAATACCATCAGAAAACTTACAAAAGAATTACGAGAAGGTAACTAGAATATAACCTGGATTTTGGTTAGACTCCTGACAAGCCAGTCTTCCTAACTGCCAGGAAGGATACTAGTAATATATATATATATATATTCGTACGAGTGTTTCCCAGTAGAATATATGGCATTAAACAGTTGAAGAAGGTCTAGTCCCTGAATTTCATGCTCTAACCTCTGCGTGACTTTGCACTGGCCCAATTGCCTTTGTATTCTTCCGGACATTCATGGATGTCTCTCTACGAGTGATTTCTAGTATAGTCTCATTCACGAGACACATTAGGGCTATCATCCCTTTTTCACATAATCTTTCAGCTTATCTTCAACTCGCATGATGTACTGGTTGTTGTTATCCTTCAGATTTGTCACGACTTTTTCGATCCCTGTCTGTCATTTCTTTGAGTTTTCTGTTCATAAATAAAAATATACCACTCCTATTTCTTTTCCAGATAATTCCGAGTTTCTTTTCACTTATCCCTTTCCATCCGATAGACATTGGCGTAGATGTCCCTCAAGGCTCATTACTAGGACCCATCCTGCTCCTTGTACATTTTAAGTATCCCATTAGTCACTTTACCCAAAAAAATAATAAAAATAGAAACAGCCCTATATCATTTATTTTTCGGAGAATAAGTATGCAAAGGACACATAAATAGAACAAAAACACAAATTAATCACTTGATCCGAAAAAATAAAGCTATTGTAATAATGACATCAGACTACACCGGCAAAACTAACGTTTCAAGGTACGTTTCAATTTTAAACGTAAATAACAATGGTCTACTAAAAAGTTTATAGTACTTCAATGATGGTCCTAACTATAGCTTTCAAACTTTTGTTACTCAATTGTTTATTATACTTTCTTCGAGATCTGTAGGTTCTCATTATTAGAAAAAGTATTGAAAGCGGTCTGAATTGTTGTCCAATAGACCAAAACTTGCAATTAGACGTCCAGGCTATATGTATGTCTTTGGGTCTTTCCAGAGGTGAAAAATAAAAGCCACTTCTTGAAAAAAAGAACTTCAGATCGGGCACACAAATTAGCATTTAATATCTTTACATAAGGCATATTTTCCACTAAAAGCACGGAGTTTCATAGAAAATATGGACGAAAATTGAATCAAGTATTAACTTGTGGTGTTCATTTCCTTCCAGGTTCTTCTAGTTTTAACGGCAGCGGCGGCCTCCTGTTTGGCCGAACACTACTACGGAAATTACGGTCACCACGGTGGTCACTACGGCCATCATGGCGGCCACTACGGTCATCTCGGCAGCCACTACGGTCATCACGGCGGCCATGGTTTTTACAAGTACTACCCGCATTACTACCACGGTCATTATGGTCACCATTACTAATCTTTCTTCTATGACATAGCAACAACATCGACCAAAATTTTTGTAAAATAAATTTTGTTTAATTTGTTAACGTGCTATATTTTTTCACCACCTTTAATCATTTTCTGTGCATACAAGTGGGTGTACAGTACAGGGACTCTCCTACATCATTTCTTCAGAATTCAACTTTTTCCTCAGGAAAGAAAGCGTATTGAATGTGGACTAAAATCATATTCATACTCGGTATATGCCATTGACCAACTACCTAAAACATGGGATTTTGGTCTACTGGGTAAGAACCTATGATTTGGCAATTATCGATCATTTTGGTCTACCCTCGCCGTTTTGATGAGTCAAAGGCATTTCGACATTTCGCTTAAGGGGTGTCCTAGGATGCACCCGCTCGTATTACGTCCTTCGCAGGGGTGCAATGAATTCGAAAAAGTATTAAATATTCCAAGCATGCGAGGAGTACAATGATAGCCGCTCACTACTTCCCATTATGTTGCATAACGACCGGTGAATGTGGAACGGTGAAGTGAACTGCGGGCGACATTCCCAGAAAATCTCTCGTTATCCCTACGACCTATGCATACACACGGTCTCACTGTAAAAGTCCTCTCTGTGATCAAAGTGGCATCGCAACCGTTCTCCGATTGAAAACAGTAACCAAGGCTTAGTCCGATAGGAATGCCCAACGGCTATCATCTGAGGAACCCAGCGCGACCCGGGGTGATCTGGGCTTGTAATTGTCCAGTCTAGATTCATGTGAGGGGAGGCAGATGTGTCCTGGAGTGGAGGGCAATTTGAAGAGGTGACCTCTTTGCCATGGACCGTCAATTTGGTGCATACTTGACCAGAGAGTGCTTTTTCTTGTTAGACTGTCTTCCCATCCATATGACAGGGGGGGGGTTGACTTTACAAAAGTTGGAGTTTAGTTTATTTAATATTATAAAGTAATATATACATTGTAAAAAGTAAATACAAAGAAAAATGGCTAGTGTCACTGTAAGTCGGCCCCCGTTTTAACGATAAGTTAAATTGTAAAATAAGGACAAAATAGGTAGACAGCTAGGTAAGAACAAGGTCGAAATGTGAAGCAGACCCAGACGGGAACGACGTGATACATCTGGCACATGTAGCTTGGAAATGGTTACCCAGGTAGTCAGTTAGGTAAGAAAGGGGGACATCGTAAATTGGGAATACGTCAACGCTGTGCTAGACCGCCGTCTTTGTCGGCCCCGCCACGGCGTGAGAAATCCCCCGACTTTTGAGTTTCCTTTCCAACCCTACTCCGGGAGAGACCCGGTATAAAAGGGATGACTGGAAAATCAAAAGTCAACAGTCAAGATGCAAGACTCACCCCAGTGAGTCAAGATCCGAGACTCACCCCCAGCCAGTCAACATCAGAGACTCATCCCAGGCAGTCAAGACCAAGGACCGGGAGAGAAGCAGCCAGACTCCGTCTGGGATTCACAAGGGGACTCAGCCAGCCAGAGCCAGCGAGGACCAGCCGTTGCGACCAATCGAGCCAAGTCAGAGGTCGAGAGAAGAGATGCTGTGGACACTGATCGTGGCGAGCATCGTTTGGGGTAAGTCCCTTTGTTGATAGACTCATCCCAGATTTAGAGTTGTGGCTGACTTGTAGATTAATTAATTAGCAATTAGGGTACTGTTAAGAGAAAGACTTGTGTACAATAAATGTTACTGAATACTGTCTCTGGTTTATTGAATTCTGGATCCTTACCTTCCCTACACAAGAATCAGTAGCGACGCGCTTACGCCGACTAATCTCTTGTCGCTTATAGAAAAGCAAGCGAATATCGAGAGATTATTCTGCCGCCGCCCCGTCGTCCGCTTACATCACTATACATGTTTTTTCTTAAGCATCTCTCCTATTTCCATTCTTCCTGACCGCTGGCAGGTTAACCAAGGTTTACTGCTCGGAGGATGATATACGGGAAACAATAGAGGACATTGTGACGATAAGATACCCGCCGATTGGAAACAGCACGCGTTAGAAAATTTCTCGGCCTATTTTATGTAAAGTCCTTTAGTAACTGTACTATCGAATATTTTCAGCAGCTGACTTCACCAAATCCAAGGGACACCATCGATCAATTACCATACCCATTTTGTTCACTGTTCACATTCCTCTAGCTTTTATATTTGAGTATCCCTCTGTAGCTTAAGATATCCTCATCGGTTTTATTTTGTTGACATTTCAGTCACAGATTGATAGATACCATCATGAGCATAAACACCACTCCAATCGGTCCATGCAGGATACTGGTAAAAATTTATCAAGGCCTTTCTTCAAACCATCCTTCTGAACTCCTTTATATTTATGGCATATCCTTACAAAATTCCTTTTTTCCAAAATCATGGAAGCAATCTTTGGTCAAATCCCTAAATAAAATTTAATCCCTCCTCTTCCAATTATTACAGCGCCGTTATATCTAACCTCGCTAAGCCTCTTGAAAAATTCTCCCAAATCTCGAATTACCTAGACTACTCAAACTCACTGTTATCTTTTCCATCTACCTTTTGCTTCCCATGGATCTCGGCTATTTTAAAAATATCACCAATGTTTAGGTGGCTATGGGTCAAGATGAAGTTACTATTCTTCTCCTTCTTGGTTTTTCTTACACCGTAAACCATTCTTTCTAATTATCCCACACAGCACCAGTACTCTCTGCTGTTCTCCAGTATATCTGCCTCGCTCTTTTGTTGTTATATTAATGATCTTCCTAATATTCCTATACTTAAATATTAACACCGTTACGCTGATAACTTACAAATATGTCTCTCTTTTCACCTCATATATCAAATAAATATCAAATCACACAAATCCAAGTGGACCTAAACGCCATCAGGTCCTCTGAATGTCAATAAGTCACAGGCTTAATGTGTGGACCCCATCGTCCAATCCTTACCTCCATTCCTCCGCTCTGCAACAACCAACCGATCTTTTATCCATCTGGCAAATACCTAAATATCGTCCTATATCAAACCTATCCTATAAACCCCAAATTTCCCGAATCACGTGCCGCTGATTCTCCATCCTACGCCAAATCCGTCAAACAAACCAATTACCATTCGACCTCGCATTTCTTGTACATCTCCATTTCGATTACGGCTGCTCTACGGTGGACTCACTGGGCCATTAATGTGTGTTGTAGAACACTTATGGAAAATAAATTTAAGGGAAAAGATATTAGAATTTTTTCTCACAGTCAGACTAGTCTTAGGTCATTACAAAAAGATTTGTCAACCTCACGACTGGTGGAGGAAACTATAGATCTTATCAATAGGATCTCTTTCAGGTTTGAGAACAAGGTAACCTTTATTTGGATACCAGCACATAAAGGACACCATGGCAATGAAAAGGCGGATGGCCTAGCCACAACCGGTATTACCTCACTCTATCAGCACAGCGAAAGAGAGTATTAATAACTGGGGCATGAAACAACCCTTAGGGAGTGGAATTTATCCACCGGATACAGGCAATCGAAAAAGTTTGTTAAGGCGATCAAACCAGCAGAATCGAAATGGCTATTCTCTAATTCAAGGAAGGGAATTAGGAGGCTGATAGGTATTCTGACGGGCCACTACCCACTGAGAAGACACCTCTTCGTAATGGGTATTCTACCAGATCCTTTTTGCCGTTTTTGCGAAATAAAATAAGAAACGGCAAGGCACTACCTCGCAGAGTGTGATAGATAAGCTAGGTCTAGATTTGAAATCTTTGAAGGAGAGGACATCACCAAATCACTCTCTGAGATAAAATGGTCCAAAATCTTGGGGTTTGTGAACAAGTCCAAGAGATTTATGCAGGACACGTGAGCCGACCAAGTCCCGGACCTTTTAGGGTTGGGGTACGAATCTACCCAGGCATTTAACCCCACGGGTCTTGGTCGCCCACCCTGCGTCTATATACGGTGGACTCACCAGCAAGCTAGTTAACAGACTTAAGAGAATCATGAACTGCTTCGCTCGGTACATAGCTCCCCAAAGGGATCTCATATGTCTAATGACATTCTTTCTTCCTTTAACATACAATTTCTTCCCATATCCCTTCAGATATATATATATATATATATATATATATATATATAAATCTGTTCACGTTTAAATCTTCTATACACACTTGCTACGCTCGTTCCTGCCTTTCTGATCTCTAGCTCTCCCTCATACAAATCCACTGTTTATGGTCGTTCCTTTCTTATCCGTTCCTACAACCTCTGGAATTCGTCACTCCATTCGCTTTGCCTCAACCCTTTTCACATCCGTCTTTTTGACCAACTCCTGTCCCAAGAGTTGTATTTATAATAAACAAAAATCATTACTGATCTACCTTGGGAGTCATATATTATAGTGATTATACAACTAACTTGCCGAACAACAGTAGAATTATCAGTATGGTTTTTCAATAAACTTTATTAACTAGGTATATTGGGAAGACATCTAGTGAACAAACAAAATCCAACTTGAAGTTGTTATATAATACATATGAAAAAGGATGAAACGTACACAATTTACATGTGACAAAGAAATTTTGAGGTTGTTAGCCTGAATTTAAAAATGATACAGCTTTAAGTAATATTCTTTTATTATATTGTAATAAACGTGATATAAAAATATTGAATAGTTTTATTTAAAACTTTGAACGATCAACATTGGACTGAAAGGTACAGGTGTCCGTTTATTGTTTCTAGCAATTTTTAAGTTTTAGTGGTGGTGTTTCTCTTCATGTCCCTTATTGTGTCCATGTGCCACGTGACCATACGGACTGTGGTGACTCCCTCCAAAGGGACGGCTCTGACTTCCACCTGAGTGGCTACTTGGATGGCTACCTGGGTGGCTGCCATGGTCGCTACCCGGGTCGGCTTTGGGCTCCGGTTCAGCAGCAACCATAGCCAGAATGGCCACAACGCAGACAAACAAAAACTGAAAACAAGTTTTGAAAAACATTATCTTCATACAATGTAAATAATAGCATATTGTCAATATTGGGTATTATTACATTATAATCTGGTTGTAATTAACGTTTTATTTTTTAGTTATTCAGATATCGTGAGATGCGGTCGAGTGTAATGTAGGTTTCAGAAAAACATTTTCTTTATCGTGCCAACGTTTCGATCTTTTATTGAGATCATCTTCAGGGCCTGGAATTTACAAACAATGTTTACATTTAACAAATACATTTAGGATGTGGAAAAGTGAATTTATACAATGCAAAATATATTTTATATTCAAACATATCCTGACATACTCATTCTTTCGGCTGATAAGACCAAATAAACAGTAGCAATCAGCAAGAAAGAATACAAAAAAAAATTGACAAAATTATCACAGACACAAACACATACACCATAATCAAATCAGACCCTACTCCTTCTCTCATCAAACAGACAAAATTCTCCAAGAAACCCTTAAACGAAAAAAAATTGACACATACACCTACAAATCACTTCAAAACTCACCAACACCTCCGAAACTATATGGATCTGTAAAAACACACAAACCTGAACACCCTCTAAGACCCATAATTTCATTTGTAAACTCACCCACATATAACATGACAAAATACCTAACCAACTGGCAGACATAATCATGACACATCTACTAAATATAGTCATACCACAACTTCCTTTCACATTACCCTTCCTCACTAAATACGTAGATGATATATTGACAGCAGTTCCCACAGATCAAATTCAAATTACATTAGATACATTTAATAGCTTTCACCCACGCCTACAATTTACACATGAAATCGAAAACAACAAAACAATACCATTTTTAGATACACTTGTAATAAAACAACCAGATGGCACATTAATCACAGATTGGTACCAAAAACCAAGAAACACAGATCGCTACCTCAACTTTAAATCTCACCATCCTCTTCATACAATAATAAACACGGCCAAAGGGTTACTTCACAGAATGATTACCCTGAGCCATGAATCATTTCACCACAAGAACATAAAGATATACAAACAGATCCTCCATAACAATCTCTACCCTAAACACATAATTAACAGAATAATCAACAACTACAACACAACACTAACACATTCCACTATTACTAATAATACTACATTAAGTACATCAAATACAAACAAACAAGCATACATTTCCATACCATTTATTCAAGGCCTATCACACAAATTAAACACTTTTCTCTCGTCCGATAACTTCAAAATAGCTTTCAAAAATTATAAAACAATCCAAACACTTTTTTCCAAAGTTAAAGATCCCACTCCAATAATAAATAAATCTGACGTAATCTACAAGATCAACTGTTCAAACTGTCCGGCAACTTACATCGGTCTTACATCCCAATATCTGGACAAGAGAGTAAAGCAACATATCTATGATTGCAAAAAACCCAAGCAAAATCCTACAGCACTCGCTACCCACCACTTTGAACACCAACACAATTTTGACTTCAAAAATCCAAAAATATTACATACAGAACAAAACAAATATAAACGTAATTTCTTAGAAATGGTTTATATCAACAGAGATAAACACAGCATCAATTACAGAACAGATACATGTAAACTCAGTCGCAGCTACGCCAATATCATTAATCAAATACAATATAGATAACATACATATATCATTACATTACATTCCACACATCAAATACTTTTCACATAGTCTAATTTTCCAAAAATTTAGCTTTCCTCTTCCTATTTATCCCCTTTCTGTATAATCCTGAAAGGATAATCTGGCCGAACTATTACCAACACATTGTTCCCCTTTGTCGGTTTTTTCACTTCAAAGAAGCCGACGCCTTACGCTAAATTTTCTTTTATTTACCGACTTCCTTCCCCACCCCTTCAAAACCAAACATATATAAACATAAAACAGCAAAATTTCATTGGCACTCTCAACACGACACGCAAGGATGGCACAATTACACAGAAGACAAACACTTTGAGTGAGTAGAAATACTTTGTTTGAATATAAACTATATTTTGCGTTGTATAAATTGACTTTTTTCCACATCCTAAATGTACTAAATGTATTATGTAGTTAAATTTAAACAATGTGCCCTGAAGATGATCTCAATAAAGATCGAAACGTTGGCACGATAAAGAAAATGTTTTTCTGAAACCTACATCAAAGGTAGACCGCACCTCACGATCTCTGAATAATTATCGATTAACATCACTAACCACACACAATTATTATTAGTTGTATACCAATTATTAAAGTTTTACTGAGGTATGTGTAAGTTGTAAGCAGTCCGAAACAGAATTAATTGTTATGTATTGTTATATCATAAGCAAAAGGTAAGGTCATTACGTATGGAAGAGAATCGGAGATATCGTTTATATATATTTTAAAAAGAAAAGGACCTAAGTTCGACCTTTGAGCAACTCCAGGTGTTACTAGAAAAACTAAACGAAAAAACTGATTTTAATTTTACTTTAAGCATTCGACCTTCTAAGTAGGAATGCAAACCAACGTAACAAGTTACCATGTATGCCTAACTTTTGTAATTTCTGTAGTAGAATCAAAAGCTTTTGAAAAGTCAGTGTCAATACAAACTTGTAGACCTTCGGAAAAGAATTCTTGAAATATAATAAGTTTTTAATCTAGATCTCACGCACGATAAAGAAAATATCTGAATAACTATCGATTAACGGTCACTAATCTCTACACGTTTTATTTTTTATTAACCAATATTATTAAGCCAAAGGTCGTGGGTTCGAATCTCGCTCGTGACGCTGACTTTTATCTCAACTTAAATCCTTAATTAATTGAATGATGTTAATTGGTCCAGCGGACCAGGAAAAATAGTGAATTTTTTATTAACAATATTTTTTCCGGCATTCTATATTTTTATGTTAGCCAATTGGCTGCGAACGATTGTGGATTGAACAACAGTTCATCAGCAAGTTCTTCCAGCCGTCTGTAGTTCTTTTCTCGCGTAGATTTCTTGGGACCGACAAAAGAAAGTCTTTAGTTTTTGGGCGTAGCGACCGCTTTTGGAACGAAGAACTGTTTTTTTTCCCTATTTTGTTTGTTTCCATTTCTACTCGATGTGTTTTAATTGATACGCATTTTTTTAGGAGGGTCTGTTCATGTTCGGCATCAAACTCTAAACATGTACTGTAGTTGTGGTTTTTTTAAAGTTCATCGGGTTTAGTGTGAGCTCTCACACCATCTGCAGAGTGAGGTGATTGAGTTAGTTCCTCTACCTACCAAACTACCTTTATCCGCTCCAGAAAAAATACTGGAAAAATTAATGACTATTTTTTTTAGGATCGATCAACAATGCCGCAGGCCCAACTGGACAAGGGAAACCGAATGAAGAATAGAATTGTGCACCACATGTACAGCGAAAAGTCATTACATAGACAATATGGATGTACTCCTCAACATGGTACAGTAAATGCTTTAAAAAAGCGTTAAAGATTTTGTAGATGAAATAAGTTAAAACTCAGACTTAAAGAAACTATATTGCTCATCTTTATGGACGTAAAATGTCAAAAGCCTCGATCGGGCTAGTTAGCCCATGATTGAAAAATATAGCACAAGTCATCGAATACTTAAGGGATACTGTTCGGGTTTTTCGAATATAATGAATAATAGTCTATGCCACGTCCCTCAAATAGACTATACAGACTATCATCGTTTTTGCTGACGAGTATATATTGGTGGTTTCAGGAAGGGACGGCTTCTGAACTTCTGCTAACAGCATTTCTACAGTTTCAAAAAAATAGGATTTGGAGAGAAAAAAAAAAGAACTAGGAAACTCAAGAGAGTGACAGGGCTCTCCGTTCACTGGCATCTAAGAAAACTCTTACACAACATGTGATCCCATTTATAGGTTATGCCGCTCAATGAAGACCTAACCTATGATATCAAGAAGAAGCATCCTAAAAGAAAGATCAATTGAACTGAACTAAGAAACTAGGAAAAATACAATCAGCCAGCAAGCTGAAGGACTGGAAAGAAAGCCCCGTTTCCTAGTCTCCGGTCATCACATCATCAACATAGCTTTCAATAAATATGAAAATCCATACGCATCTTAAGAAGACAAAGGCTAAAAGAGATTAATATAAATGCCTAGAAATTGTCCAATTGAAATACCTCGGAGTAATCTCGATGAAATTTTAACGTGGACATGGGAGATTTGTGCCGAAATAATTAATCATTATTATGTGGAGCAACTTCTTGGTTATGGCACTTTACCGGAAGAAAAACCATGTTCATAACCCTAAAGAAACGATTCGTCAAACCATAAGGCAAAAATAGAACACAAGAATAAGTGCCAGAAAGTAAGTTGCCCATCTATCACAATGTATACAAGTGAGGCAAGTCATAAGAAAAATAACAAGAATAGTAAACAAAAATATCAAATATTAACGTAAAGTCTCTGTTTTGAGGGAGAGGAGCTGATTATAAAGGTGGGATTTGAAGGAGGAGAAGGAAGCGCGTGACGAATAGAATGGGGAAGGGAATTCCAGGGTTTAGGGGCTCGGGTCAGAAAGGATCTTTCGAAGGTATGGGTTGTATCTTGCGGTGAGGGAGGCGATACAATGGCGGGAAATATGAGGACGCCAGGAAAGGTTTTGGTCAAAGACTATTCCTAGGTTTTTAACCGAGAAGCAATAGGAAAGGGGATGGTTATTTAACATGAGAGGTGGGATGCTGGACAGGGAATTGAGGAGTTGCCTGGACCCAATAATTATGGCGGTGGATTTAGACGGATTGAGGACTAGGGAACTTTTATGTGCAGCCAGTAATGGATTATGGGTGGATCTTTTACTGCAAGGAAGCCAAAACCCATTTAAAAAAATTAGACCAAGTACAGTTCAGAGCGTTAAGACTTGGGCATAACTAAATCAATCCTGACAAATGTCCTACAAATCAGAAGTGACAAAATGCTTTAAAATTGAACATATAAGAGAATAAAGGTTTCTTTCTACGGATAGGTCAAAGACGAAAAAAAAGAGTCTGTGCGGCCAGTTAGACCCAGGAAACCAGACAAAATACAAAATATAAAACCTTCACAACATAGTTTCAATTTTCACATCAGAAAGCATGGCTACGTTGAGTAATCACAGACAGCCGTTCTAATAAAAAAGCTCCATTCAACAAAACCCCCTAGTAGACAAAAGGATGGATTTATTAGAAAACTTAAGAAAAAGAATTCAAAATCCACTGCATGGAGTAGAAAGACATGATGTGAATATACACTGAGAAGGAAAAAATGCCCATCCTTAATATTTTTAATTATGTCTTAGGAAATCCTCCATTAATTATCTTACAACAATATTTGGTGAGGGCGTCTGTGGCCGCAGCGATCCAGCGGCCCTGCGTTCGAACCCGACATACTTACAAATGGGCTTTTTTTTTCAAAAACACCGGCACCCCGAGGGTTTATATGGCCTCTGCTGTTGCGAACCCTCGTAAAATAAAAATAAAATAAATAAATATAAATATTTGTTCTGTTTTGAAGGATTAGAGGTAAATAAAAGACAAAATTAATTAAGGTTTTTAATTGAGATAAAAAAGTCAATGGCACGAGCGGGATTCGAACCCACGATCTTCGGCTTGATACGCCGCTGCTCTACCACTTGANTATATATGATTTTTTTTAAATTGTATTACATACAACTATCTACTAATAATATAACATCATGATCTTTTAGCCGCTTGATCTTAATCTCATGGAAGCAATTCTAATTTATTTTTGACTTTAAAAAAAAATTAAACGATGCATGTAATTAAAGAGCAAACTCTGCATTTATATCTAATTAAAATAAGAAAATCTAAAAAGACTATAATTTAAAAAGAATAATGTTCACATATTTAAGAATAGATTTTAATTAATTGCACTTTTAATCTAAGGTCTTGTTTGAGATGAAAAAGCAAATGTTTAGAGCGGGATTCGAACTCACGACCTTCGGCTCAATACCCCTTTCTTCTAACCGCTTGTGCTATCGTGGGTTCGAATCCCGCTCGTGACACTTGCTTTTTTATCTCAACCGAGACCTTAGATTAAAAGTACAATTAATTAACATAATTAATACAGTCAATTATGTCTACTGAATACATATATGGTTTAAGAATATAGCATTTTCTGTCAAATGAAACTTTTTTCAATCAAATGAAACTTTTTTCAACCAAATGAAACCTTTTTTCAATCAAATGAAACCATTTTTCAAGCAAATGAAACCTTTTTCAAGCAAATGAAACCTAAAACCTAATGATAATAATTACGTAGAGGAATAAATAAATGACATTATAGTACTAACAATAATTTTTATGATGATTGAATATTAATATTACAATAATTGAATCGTAAGGCTTATGTACAAGAACGTTTCTTCATCAAATTCACGAATTCATCAAACTTTTCTACTTCCACCCCGTCGAAGTTTAATTAAGTGGGATAAAAGAGTGTTTTTGAGCGAGCAACAATTTTCTGTGATAGAAATTATGAATGATTGAGTGGGTGTGGAGTTCAATCCTTTTTAAAAAGATGGTTCCTACTCACAGTAAGTTGTTTCGCAACAATCCGGAATTCGAGCCCTTTAGCTCATCATCAGGTTGAAGGGTTTCTACAAACACGTCTCTCGACATGAATTGCAAAAGTGAACCCGCTGATACTCCCGCCAACGCGAAAACGGATCTTCACAAGAAACGTTCTTGTACGTAAACCTTACGATTCAATTATTGTAATATTAATATTCAATCATCATAAAAATTATTGTTAGTACTATAATGTCATTTATTTATTCCTCTACATAATTATTATCATTAGGTTTTAGGTTTCATTTGCTTAAAAAAAGGTTTCGTTTGCTTCGAAAAATAGTTTCATTTGCTTGGAAAAAGGTTTCATTTGATTGAAAAAAGTTTCATTTGACTTTAAAATACTATATAATAAAAATATTTTTAATTATTTTAATTAATTGATGCAATTGCGCGTTTTGGATACTCACGATGAACTTAGCCATGAGGAAAACAGACAAGCGACTGTTCAAATCACAAGTCGACGCGGACTTATATATGTGACCCTGCTCGTAGTCGGCGACGCCTTCCCATTAAATAAAAAACAAACAAAAAATACCTATAAAAATAAAAGGAAAGAGAGAGAGAAGGTTTTGAATCGTCTGCATACATTGGAAATTGATTAGAATGCGACAGGGAAAAAAAACTAGTTGTGGGGGCAGTTGTGCACATCAGCGCTGATTACCCGACAGTCACATACATTATTGAAAATGAAGAAATGTGGTTTTTTTTCTCCTTAACGAAGCGGAATGACACGTCTTATGATAAATGTAAATCAGTGTGAAATAACCAAGATTTGATATAAAATTCCTAAATCGTGACGTCTTCTTTTTATAAAGGAAAGCTTGAATTTAACGGCTTATAATCATAGCTGAATAATTTTAAAAAGTCCTATATTAATCTGTGTGTATGTGTGTTTAATTATATTATTATTTAAAGTTCGCCAGAAAGAAATGAAGGCCAACATGTTACTAAGTGAATAACGGCGCAAATACATTATAATTTTTCTTTTTCTTAATTTATGTCCTTTAATACGCGGCGTTCAACATTTTTTTTCAGTTTCAGGGATTCCAAGTCGTAGTTTTTCTTTAAACTTGTAATTATGCAAAAGCATGCCAATTAGTATCGGCGGTTGCAAGGTTACACAATAAGTAAGAAATACTCTACCAGATTTCAATGTAAACTTCTTAGAGTGAATTAAAAAAATAAATAAATAAGACTATGGTAAAAAAAAGATTTTATTGACAATTATCACTTAATACAAAACAAATTTAAGGATTATCCTGTTTACTTATATAAATATGTGGGAGATTATCCGTCTTGGTCCTGGCTCTAGGCTGGCTTGCTCATAACCAAATACGAGGGTCGAGCTGAGAAACATCACGCTTTTTTTTCAGGGTGCCGGTGTTTTTGAAAAAAATCCCATGTGTAAGTATGTCGGGTGCAGGGCCGCTGGATTCGAACCCGGGACATTTACCTTACAGTGATGAGCGCCGTGTCAACGACTAAACCTTGCGGCCACCGACGCCCCCGACATCACGCATTGTTAATTGTGTTGTCCAAGCATAGCAATATCGAGAAACAGTTTTCTGTTGGAAGATGCCTTCCTTCCCCATCCGGTCTATGTACATACAGACAAACTCTATTCAAGGAAGGTAAAGTGAGATTTATCCAGATTAGATTATCCAAATCCAAAAAATGGAAGGAAAAGGTTGCCCTCAAGAATCGAGCTCTGGACCCGGCTTTTGGAAATGTTCGACTCAGTTCTAAAATTGAAATTTTCATCTAAAGTAAAACTGGTCGCCTTCGCTGATGACCTGCTCCTGATGACTAGCTCCCGTGACATTTTGCTGGGTATACAGTTAATGTATATTCGTAGTTGAAAACTGGTCAACAGAAAATAAGATCAACTTCAACCCGAACAAGTCAGTCTCAATTTCTAAAAATGGGTCTCCGATTTTGTTAATTATGGTTGTATGCCCGAATTGTTTAGTTCGTATTCAATTTGATTGTTTTTGGAGCCTAAAGCTTTTCCAAGCCTATCCTTTTATAAATATTTCCGTGGAGTTAGTTTAGCAGAGTTCCTAGTGCACTTGTAGAGGTTGTTCTCATTGTCCCTGTGATAAGTAAGTTTCCTAGTCTTTGTATGCTGCCTAATGATTGAGTAGCTACTCTTTGTTGAGCTTTGGTCCACCAGATCCATAGGTTATTTTGGATGTTATTACTGCCGTGTATAACCAATAGGTCATTTCCAGTTATTCCCCAAGATTTGCCTAGGATTCTTCTTGTAATTAGCGTTATTTTACTTTTTGCTATAGTACGCTATAAAGAAAGAAGACTTATAGGAATCTTAAGATATTATGTTGTTACAAACACATATTTTACGGTAGTGATGAAAATATGAACCATTATTTGTCATCAAATGCGTCCATGTCTCAAAAATATCAAACTTCGTTCTTGACACAAAAAAGAACTAGCGTTATAATTTCCAAATGTTCTACATTCATGTCTAAAAATGTACCATTCAGGTTGAAAATGCTAAAGTTAATTGGTAATACGTCAAGACTATAAGGTGGGTGAAGCAAGACGCCGACTAGCACCATATCGTTTCGAGTTTAAAACGTCTGGAACAAGAAATTCACACCTTATCAACAGTGGTTGGCCCACTTCAGATTTTAATTAAAATGCAAAGAAAATAATCGATTAAAGGATTAATCTATGAAACAAATATAAACAATCGTGTAAGCCGAAATGAAGGATTTAATGTTTTCATGCGATAAGACCTAAGAAAAAAATCTCAACAAAGAAATTGTACTTTATTTAAACTATAATCGTAATTAACAGTGCAATAAAGTATAAAGTTAAGTATAAATAGTAAAGTTTCCTTTTATAAGAAACCGACGGCTCTCGATGTTTTTGTTTATAAAGATATCCTGACTGTGTTTGTATTGCAAAAAGCTATCAGCTTTCGCGAAAACACCAAAATGGTAAAAATATCGTCAGATGCTTTTATGTCCAAGAGAAAAAAAGCTTTTTGTCACTTCGCAGTTGCAAGGGAAGGCCGGAGGAGGCCAAGGAGATAGATAACCAGTAAAAGTAATCGGCCGGCACAAACCTGATCCTTTGTTGCACAATTCTTGCAATTTTAATTCTCAAGAGATTTCGTCTTTAGTTCATCCATAGGAGTGGTAACGTAATAATATAAAAAGTTAAGAACTTGTATTATAAAATAAAACTCGGCGAAGGATTAAAACCAAGGATAACTGAGTACTTGATAATAATCAAGTGGGAAGGAAGCAAGTACAAAAAGAGTTTCAAATTCAAGGATACTAATAAAATAATATATTATAATTAATATAAATACAAGTTTTTGTTCTTTGTCGATCAGAACCAGTGAAAGATCAGAAATGACACTACTGTAAACCGGTCTCTCTCACGAACCTGCATCAGCAGTACATGTGTTGAATCGAATAAAAATGCGTCAAACCTTTCCTAAAAACCCCGGTATTTTGCATATAATCGGTAAATTAGAAAATCTAACCGATTATTCGATATAATTGGATTATACCTGTGATGCCAGTTCTTGCTATGCGACGAATGGTGGTGTTTAACAGTAACCTGATTATATCTTGGGTACCAGGACACAAAAGAATTTTGGGTAACGATTTCATCCACATAGTGAGTGGCGTCAAAGGCCCTCCACGAACAACAACCAACTCTGTGCGATTCTCCATTTAAATTCCCAACACCATCACTGAACTACGTGGAAATGGTTGGCTCTGGTTAAAATTACGAACTTCGTACCTTTCTTTTCGCCTTCTCTACACTCTTTCACGCCCATCTGGAGATCGTAGAGCAAATATACACTCATCTGTAAAACATACAGCTTGTTGTATCGTCCGAAGACTAATGGTTGTGTTCTCGAGCAAATGGGAGCCGTGCAACTCTGTGTGTTCTGGTCAATTCTGGTCCTCTTACGGGATGAAAAACCATCAGTCCATACAGAGTTAATCTTCTTCGAGTAGTGCGTTCAGAAATTTGGACCTTGGAGCTGATGAATCGCAACAGTAAGGTGCCGGTTTCGCAAAAAAACTGTCATCCTGTGGTTCTGTTACCCTAGGGTGTCCAGAACCTTGCCTTCTATGGTAGAACCCAGTTTCTCGAAAACGTCTAGCAGTGCCGATGGAACGTCCATCATCAATCATCAAAGTGCCACACCACGCGCAATATCCTCAGCACCAAGTTGCATTTTTAAATTTAAAAATTTAAATTAAGAAAACAAAGATGAAAACTAAACAGTTTATTGCTTGCGGATTCAAATGAGATAATTTTAAATTCCGTAAAAAGTAAACAATGAAAAATCCTTTATCCTTGTTTCGGGTTAAGGATTAATAATTAATAAATGTGTTTATCTCTAATTTATATATCCCAATTTAAAAGAACATAAACAAATATTTATTGGTGAAAGCAATGAAGTAAATTAAGGGCAGAATTGTTTGCCTGTCAGTGCAGTAAGGCCAACTCCTTTAATTACAAAATTGATGTATTCTGGTATTCCATGATGACACGACCATCTACTGAGGCGGAATGTGGGCTGACATTTTTAAAACCTTCTCAAATGATAACCTCAACGGCTGTCACAGCCCCTCCTTTCTCTGAAAGTCCATTATCTAATATCTGGACTTGACAGCTTTGCCATCCACCGTGAAAGTTTCAGGATGAATTCGATCGTCGAATTCTTCCCTGAAGACGACCGCCACCGTTGCGGATATTGCAAATCTGAGGATGGCAGCGTCACAAACGGTAAATTGAATTGAAAACCCTGACAAAAACAAGCCTTTTTTTTTCCAATTTGCACACATGTTTATTTACACATTGTAAAAATTTCACTCATTTTTCGAAATTCAAAATTTTTTCTACAAGAAGGGTTTTCTACTTTATTCCTTCCTTCCAGGCATGTGGGCACACAGCTTATCGGTGAGAAACTACCAGGATCTCCTTGACCGAGGATGGCGGCGGAGCGGCAAGTACTGCTACAAGCCGATTATGCGGAACACTTGCTGCCCTCTCTACACGATCAAGTAAGGATTAAGTTTTTCTCATTCCAATTTTAGTATATGTACCACCAGAAGTTCAACAAAAAGTAGCTACCAAAACATTAGGCAGCATACAGACTAGCAAACCTATGTATCACAGGGGCAATGAGAACAACCCCTCCAAATGCATTAGTAACTCTGCTAAACCTACCTCCATTGGAAATATTCATACAAGGAGAGGCTAGGAAAGGCTCACTTAGGCTCCAGAAACAATTAAATTGGAAAGGAACTAAACAATTCGGGCATACAACCGTAATCAACAAAATCAGACACCCATTATTTCAAATGGGGACTGATTATATGATCCCAGAAACATTCTTCACAACTTCCTATAAAGTCTCAACGGACTATAAAGGAGAGGAAGAATCAGGAGAGCATATTACCAATTGAATTTAGCATTTTCAACCTGAATGATACATTTTTAGACTTGAATGTAGAACATTTCGAAATTATAACGCTAGTTCTTTTTTGTGTCAAGAACAAAGTTTGATATTTTTGAGACATTGACACATTTGGTGGCAAATAATGGTTCATATTTCCATCACTACCGTAAAATATGTGTTTGTAACAACATAACATCTTAAGATTCCTATAAGTCTTCTTTCTTTATAGCATACTATAGCAAAAAGTAAAATATCGCTAATGACAACAAGAAAAACCCTAGGCAAATCTTGGGGAATAACCGGAAATGGCCTATTGGATATAAACGGCAGTAATAACATCCAAAATAACCTATGGATCTGGTGGACCCTTTGGTTCCCTCAACAAAAAGTAGCTACTCAATCATTAGGTAGCATACAAAGACTAGGAAACATACGTATCGCAGGGGCAATGAGAACAATCCCTACAAGTGCACTAGGAACTCTGCTAAACTAACTCCACGGAAATATTTATACAAGGAGAGGCTTGGAAAAGCTCATTTAGGCTCCAAAAACAATCAAATTGAATACGCACTAAACAATTCAGGCATACAACCATAATTAACAAAATCGGTAACCACCCATTTTTAGAAATGTGGACTGACTATATAATCCCGGAAACATTCTTCACAACTTCCTATAAAGTCTCAACAGACCGTAAAGGAGAGTATCAGGTACAATGATATGGTATACAGATGGCTCCAAAACAAACAAAGGAACCGGATTGGGCATTTTCTGTTCAAGCCCAAAACATGAGCAGTCAAACTCATTACGGAAATACACTTCGGTCTTTCAAGCAGAAATACATGCCATCAATGCTTGTGCCCTGGAAAATCTTAAAAGAGGTTACACACAAAAAAAAAAAATCCTCATAAGATCAGATAGCCAAGCAGCCATTAAACCATTATCATGTACAAGAATCACATTGAAATTAGTCAGTGAACGCATCCAAAATCTCTGTGGGAAACACAACAACCTGATGATACCTTGGGTGGCAGGGCACAGGGGAATTTTGGGTAATGACAAAGCAGACAGTGTGGCCCGAGGAAGACCTGAACCTATACTTGGGATAACAAAAACAAATATAAAATCCTCCATCGCAGAATGGATCCAGACAAGACAAAAGGAGAAGTGGATAAACTTTAGCAGTGCTAGGCATAGTAAACTTATGGTGATACAACCCTCACCAAAACTGGCAAAAGAATTGCTGCAATTGGAAAGGGCCAAACTCAGAGGAGTGGTAGGACTACTAACCGGTCACTGGCATCCGAGAAAACATCTACACAACATGGGTATATACAGCGATGATTCCATTTGCAGATTATGTAATAAGGAAGAGGAAACAGTCACTCGTATCATCTTCGAATGCGAAGCAACAGCTCAATGGAGATTTAACCTAACGTACAGAAAAAACTTAGGGAATCAAATTGCAGCAGCGAAAGTCAATGACCTGATACTTCTAAGGAGAAGGTTGAGTCTTTTGCAATGAACTAAGGAACTAGGAAGGTACAATAAGCCAGAAGGCTGCAATGCCTGGGGAGCGCAAACCTTGTTTCCTAGTATCCTTTTTTACCATTCCATACCATTTATGCTCATTCTGCATCATCAGTCTTATTGCTTTTAGTACTGGAAAGGGAGGCTGAAGTCAAACTATCAGATGACAGATGCCTGGAGGTTGTTCTAGCAACATACACACTCAGTGAATCTGTCACTTTACCTGAATCCAATGTAGAAATATAAATTGAGCATATGTACCCACTGTTGAAGTTTTCCTTCATTTTCTCTTCTTTTTTCTTTTTTTCATCCAGGCATCAAACTGTCAGATGACTGAAGCCCGGAGGTTCAAGCAACATACGTACTCACATCATCTGTCAGTTTACCTGCATCCAGATCAGAAAGATAAATTGAGCATATGTAGCCTCTGTTGAATTTTTCCTTCAATTTCTCTAGTTTTTCTTTCATTCAGCCACCAAAGTTTCAGTTGATTGAAGCCCAAAGCTTGTTCAAGCAACACACACACTCACTCACTGTGAGTACAAATTCTTTGATTGAATCTAAAATTTCTATCATTGTATAAATTCATTTTTTCACATTTTACATGTATTTGTTACAAACAATGTTTGTAAATCTCAATAAAGATTGAAACATTGGCATGATAAAGAAAATGTTTTTCTAAAACCTAGATCACAACAGATTGCATCTCATAATCTCCGAATAATCATTGACTAATGGTCATTAAACACCACCCATAATCCAAATTATTATTCTATGGGTACTATTAAGCAAAGTTGAGTGAAAGATTAAACACACTTTATTCCTCATGACTCTTTGAGCTTCTTTTGAAATGCATGTTCGTACTTAAAGTTTAAGATTTTTATACCAGCTTTTTCCATTTACCAAATCTAAGAAGTTTAGAATGGATTTGTGCAACCCCAAACATAAATACAGACATCAGGATTGTTCTGTAGTGCTTCTCCCCATTCTATTGAAACTTATTAATTCTTATATGGCTTAACAGGAATTTATTGATATGTTTGGACTATTTATTAATGCAAATTAATCTGAAATCGTTTCATCTCTGATAATTATAATTATAGGGTTTAAGTTAGATGTTTTAAAAGCTTTATTGAGTTATCATTTGATGGTTTAGATGTGATGCTGTTAACTTCAATCTTACCAAATCGCAGAAAAAAATATTGAGAAGGGTCACTAAGTTTTTAAGAGAAGGAACAGCACCCACATCTGAGTGCGGAGATAGAGATTCATCAAGCGGTAATTCTCCAAAAATAAATTCAATTTATGAATTTATAAGCTAAATTTGTTTTCTTTTAGGTTATTTGAGTGAACGCAAAATGCTAAAAAGAGCATCTGGAAAGTGTTCGAGTAACGTCCGGGGGGTCAACTCGTATAGGGATGACACAAGTTGGTAATTCTTGCTTTAGTCGTATATCCAGTCTGCAAGTTTGAAAATGAAATGTAGTTTTTCAATTTAGTCTCTGACTTGACTTCCACTGTGACGACATCCGGTGATGCTTTCACCTCGAGAACACATCATTCTTCAGGTGAAATAATTCAATAAAGGCCAAACATTTTTTTCTTATTGTTCTTCATTTAGGTGTCGTGACAGAATCGAAAGCGGAAATATCAGATAAATCGGAAAAGACTGTTACAGTAGATTCAAAGACTAGAAGTGGTTTGTATTCTAATTGACTCTTTTTTGCATAGCAAGTCACATAATTTTATTTCCAGGCCTTGGAAGAGATCCGTCAAAGCCTCAGTGTAGAAAAGCGAAGCTCGTGAGGCAGGAGAAAAAAATGAAAAAGTTAGAGGACCAAGGCGACTCGGTTTTGTCAGTGTTGACAAGCACGACTAATTCTTCTGACTCACAGGGAAAGACTTTAGAGGACTTTATCATGGAGAGTGCTGAAGGTGACCTCAAAAACACTCTCATCGTAAGTCACAACCTCGTAAAAAATTATCGCCTGTACAGATTTAAGTTTAATTTTTCACCTATGTAATTTGATATTCCAGCTTCGCCTAGTGCCTGCAGAATCAACGCCCGATATGCTGAACAAATCCTGGCAACTGTACGTTAAATATCAAATGGCCGTCCACAAAGAAAAAGAGGACGAGTGTTCATTTAGTAGTTTCAAGCAATTTCTTGTAGATAGCCCTCTACAGGCAAGTTTCAATGTGTTTAAACCGATTATATTTTTATATTTTTTATATTTGTTTAGTCATATCGTGATGGAACAACACCAAGTTGTGGTTTCGGATCATTTCACCATCAGTATTGGCTCAACGGTGTTTTAATAGCAGTAGGTGTAATTGATATTTTACCAGAATGTGTTTCATCCGTTTATTTCTTTTACGACCCAGCTTATTCCTATCTTTCACTTGGAACTTATGGAGCTCTTAGGTTTGTCACTTATTTTATTAATTGTAATTTCACGACTTACAAATTTTTTTTTAGGGAGATTGAATTGGTTAGAGCTCTCTCAAAACAGTGCTCAGCTGTATCTAACTATTATATGGGCTATTATATTGATACATGCCCCAAAATGAGGTACAAAGGAAGGTTCAGACCTTCGTACCTTCTTTGCCCCGAGGAATACACCTGGCACCCACTCGAAGAGTGCTTGGAAAAGATCAAAAAAGAAAAATACTCCAGGTTCAACAACTTGGACCCGGAGGGGATACCGGGAAATGTGAATGCAGAGAAGGTCTGTATGAGTTGTTCCTGCCTTCACCATTGAGACATAGAAGAAAACCCTTCTCACTCACTGTCACAGACATTTTACTGTTCAAATACATTTTATTGAAACTTTAATCTTGGCTTTAATTAATCATCAATATTAACACATTAAACACATTCTTAAAACTGAGCCCCTAATAGAATATGAATTATTTGTTGATTTAATTTTAACAACTAACCAGGATTGTGTATTATTCATTAAACCAAAAACCCTTAGTGTAAGCTTCAACTTCTCTGAGAGGATAATCAATTTGTAAGCTGGTGGTGTTGGCATCATTATATCAAAAAAAATTAATTTTATTAATTTCACATCTAGAGACAAATTTCTGTTATTCAGGTTGTGATTCTGTGGAGAAGACAGGTCATGGAGTACAAGCAGTATGACCACAGAACGAGACCCAGCCTGCAGGAAAAGAATGATATCCAGAAGTACGCTAACCTTATTGGTGAAGACTGCTGTAAAAGGATTCTGCTCTACAAGCACACCTGATTCGATGTTAGGGAGCGTTAAAATTTGTGTAAAAATATTAATAAGATCAATAAAAATATTTAAGACTTTGTACTTATTTTCCTTGAACATTTGAGTAGATGTGGATGTAATGTTTGGGTAATATACTGCGATTTCTGAGAACTATTGTATACCCCATTTTGTAACTACAGCACAATGGTGCGTACTAGTTAAAAAAATTTAATTAGCCCGGTTTCATTGGTTGAATTTCTTCTTATGTTTTACGTACTAAAGCACTTTCAACTCTTAGCTACACTTTTTAATAGAAAATATTCTAAATGAAATATAATAAAAATATAGTGCTAGCCTCAAAATAGACCTCTATAGACTAAACGTTTTTTCTTGAATTATTATAATAGCCAAGTTTGAATGAAAAATGAAACTATTACATGTTTCTTGGGAACTTTTATATATTTTTCATTAAATGGATACACCATGAGATTTACAAAACTGTAAATGTAAAGATTTTTTGTTGACGATGGAAAAAAGAGAATGCCTCTTGAATTATTTTCTACTTTTTTAGCACTTCATAGCCAATCCTTTTCTCTTTCTAATTGGTGTACCAAATTTCAGCCTCAGATTGAAGCTTCCTCAAGTCATAAAAATCATCGGGCTTTGTGACTTTTCTTCTAACATCTTGAAAACTTGAACATCAGAGTTGGATGCAGAGATAAAAGAGAGAATGTCGGAGCGTTATCCTCAGAGAATCTGCTCTCCAAGGAAAATAAAAATGAGTCTGAGATAAAGGATAAAAATAGCGTTCCATCCGACTCTCTTTCTTGGTAGCAGCAATCTAAGAAGATTAGATCGATAATTTTGCTATTCTATCACTTTTGGTGGATGAAGGTCAACCATAAAATTTTCATCTATAGCTGTTGCTAAAGTGTAATTTTCTTTCATTGCGGCAGATCTTTCTTTCCTATGATGTTTTACAAGTGACAGAATTTTCTTGGAGATGGTTTGAGCATTGAAGGAGTCTACCTAGTTTATCTATTGTAGTTATTTTGTCTTTTTTTTTATATGTGCAGCAGGGATGGACAATGGCTTCCCAAGCCATCATACCAATATTCAAGCTAATAAATACACTCAATCTCATATATTTAACGCAAAATGAAATTTTACCAACTATCCTACAAAAAGAATCAAATTTTGTCATACAATGTTATGTTAGAATTATTGTTATTTGACTTATTTGAGGTATTTTGTGAATACTAAATTTTTAATTATTTTATCAGCTTCTATTGTTTCTAGTGTTTCTATATGAATCCGCGATTTGCTTACAATTAGAGTAAAATCGGGTAGTCGAAATGAGAAGTCACGGTAGCTCAAGTGGTTGTGGTAGAGCAGCGGCGTATTGAGTAGAAAGTCGTGGGTTCGAATCCCGCCTGTGACACAAATTTTTCATTTCGAAATAATTGTGTATAATTAATTGAGTATTTTGTGAATGTTTCGCATATTTCTGATTGTGGCGGTTTTTTTATCATAATAAAAAACTATTGTTGTTAAATAACGGCATTTTCTTGTTATTTATTTAAAAATGCTCTGTTGTTGGGGGGAAGCGTTGGTTTATTTGTTTACTGTCAAAAATCTGTCTGCTTTATTAATAGATTCAGGTCTCACTGATAGTGTCTGACAAGTAAATAATCGCTGATAAGGAATGTACGTTTTATTTTTCAACAACCGGCCAATTATTACAAAAGTGCAAATCATTCTACATCCAAAGGATCAATAAAGCTGGAGAAAATGTCAGATCCGGAGGAAATCCTAGATGGAAACGCCATTCTGGCTGAATCTTTGAAGCAACAGGTATTTTTGAATAATACTTTTTGTTTTTGTGCGTTAATATTGAGTAAATGTTTAAAGGGGATAGAATATGCTTTTGGTATAATTGGTATACCGGTTGTCGAGCTGAGTATGGCGATGCAGCATGCCGGAATCAACTACATCGGGATGAGGAATGAACAATCGGCTGCGTATGCGGCCCAGGCTATCGGATTTATTACACAGAAGCCTGCTGTCTGCTTATGCGTGTCCGGCCCGGGGTTGATTCATGCCTTGGGTGGCATGGCCAACGCACAGATCAACTGCTGGTATGCCTCTTCTTAACAAAGTAGACCTTTTCGTGACTGTCTGCTTTTAGGCCGCTCCTGGTGATAGGAGGAGCTTGCAATGTCGACCACGAAGGCATTGGTGGCTTCCAGGAATGCCAGCAAGTCGAGTTGAGCAGGCCTTACTGCAAATACGCCGCGCGTCCTGCCTCTGCCATCCTCATCCCGCAACATGTTGAAAAAGCTGTGAGATTGACAATGTATGGTAGACCCGGTAAGTTATGTTTTTGTTTGAATTTTTTTAACCAGAATAATATTTTTTTCCTTTGAAAATATTTTAGGTGTGAGTTATTTAGACTTCCCTGGAAACTTATTGACCAGCCAGACCAGAAGGGGTGATTTGATTGAAGTTAAGCCGATCCCAAGGCCTCCACGTATTTTTCCAGATCCTAAATGTATCGAAAGGGCAAGCTTTAAACTAAAAGCATCAAAACGACCATTGGTCATTGTAGGAAAAGGCATGCTAGACAAAACCACCCTGTATTCCCAAGATTTTTTATTGTTAAATTCCAGGTGCTGCATATTCAAGGGCGGAAAATGAAATTTTTCAATTTCTTAATCATACACGCCTCCCTTGGCTTCCGACTCCAATGGGAAAAGGCGTAATGCCAGATGAACATCGTGGAAGTGTCGCCAAGGCACGAACCATGGCGCTCCTCGAAGCCGATACCATCCTTCTACTTGGTGCGAGGCTCAATTGGATTCTGCATTTCGGACGTCCACCCAGGTTTAATAAAGATGTATTTATTATTCAGGTACTGTTGATGTAGTAAAAAATTTCCAACTTGCATATATGATATTTTAACATATTCGTTTCCTCAGATTGATATATGTGCGGAAGAACTGAACAACAGCATTTTATCTGGTGTTGCTATACAGTCTGATGTCAATGTTGCAGTGTCGTTGTTGAACGATAATTTAAAAAATTGGACTTTCGATGAAAATTCTGCTTGGTGGGCCAAACTCATTCAGAAATGCAGTACAAACATTTCCACAGTTCTGGTAATTAATGCTTAATTTTGTTCCACCACGATACTAGGTTTCAGAGTTTTCGACATCATCAGATCTAGAAAACCAAGTGTATTGCGTTCCAAGATGTAGCATTTGCTTTTGATAGTGCCTTATATCCGGAATTTATAAAGCTGCGTACCACTATGTTCGCGAACCAGTAGGGCTCCGCGATCCTGCAGCCACTTCAAATGGAGACGAGGCCATCGCTCTGCAAGATATATGCAGTGTTCACCTGAACATGAAGGATTAACATGTCCAAGATAGTGGCTAGTGCAGCATATATGTTCATCCGCTGAAGATTATACGAGTGGCGAGCAAATTTCTATAAAAAGAGAGCTAACCATGACTTCCTGTTGGACCTAAAATCCTAGACCAAGGTACAATAAGCCAGAAGGCTGCAGTGCCTGGGGAGTGCAAATCCCCTAAAATCCTAGACCTAAATTAGATCCCACAATAATAGGTATTTTTGGCACATCTTGATAAGAACGAGACATTTTTCTTCTGGCTACTCCATGCTTTTGGAGATTGGACAGTGAGATGTTAGATAACAAGAGCGGTACACACTGTAAAATTTCTCACTGTCGTCCACGAACCTACTGCACTCCCCTTTGAGTTCGCCCAAAAACCAACAGCCATTTCAATGCTCGAATGTTCACGAACTGTTACACGAGCGCAGAAGCCACTGGTTTGCAAACATAGTGGGTATGTTGCTTAAAATCAAACACTTCCCACGCTCTCCTAATTACCTTATCTTGAAATCCCATCTAACCTGCTTCAGAGTTATGGCGTGGCAACAAGTTCTAAAAAGCCGGCATCCCACAGAGGGAGCCTAATCTGTATTGTGCTACATCATACCATCCCTAATCATCATCACCACCTATGTGGATAATACCACAGTCCTCTAACTCGAATCCTATCCAAGGTACTTCCAATATCCAAGAATGTATTGAGTCAGACACTGGGGCAAAAAATGGAGGACAAAAGTGAATGAACGCATTGAAAAACCAGTCTTGCCCTCCACTGTACATCAATAACAGAGATACCGATTTCCACTCAAGTCAAATACTTAAGACTATACCTTTTCAGCAGCTGATGTGGAACCCCCACAAAAGACTTAAAAAACAACTTAATACAAGACGGACTACTATAAAGACTTCTAAGACCAAAACTAACACTGTACAAGATTTTACTTATCCTAAGGCCAATATGGAAATACAGAGTGGCACTGTCGGGTACTCCCAAGCCATCCACTATCCAGCGTATCCATTCCTTCCAATTGAAAGTTTTACACAAATTGTCAAATCACCTTATTATGTCACTAACCTCATTATCCAAAAAGACCTCAACATTCCTTTTGCCAACGAGCAGATCCAGTCCAGATTCCCCACCATTCGAACCATCCTACTCGATCCCTCTCCACTCATTCCCATCCCAATAAGACCTAAGAGACAGTAACTTAACAGACACCTTGGAGAAATATGAAGACTTCTAGGATTGAAATCTCTCAAAATTAAAGTAACCTTATAGACTTTGCTGCAACCACTTTGGGCAGAATGGAACTGTGGGATTCTGCCAAGCTATCCAAGTTTTAGCACATCCAATCCTTCCAATAATAAAACTTTTTTTTTTAATCGAACTCAGCTTAACAGAAACCTGGGTTAAGTGAAACAATTTCAGTAAAAAATGATATGTGAGAATGGTGTTATTGCAAATTTTAGCCGCAAATTATGTTGTTGAGATATCAACGTAGGTAAAATCTTAATGTAAACTTCATGAATACATTAAATTCACTAATTTCGTAGTCCGCTGAAAAATGGCAAAAAGGAGGGAAAATTCAAAAGGTGCGGTTGAGATGGGAAGTTAGTGCCCGAGGGGATCGAGGTCACGATAGCTCGTTGTAGAGCAGCGGCGTATCTAGCCGAAGTCGTGGGTTCAAATCCCGCTCGTGCCATTGACTTTTTTTATCTCAACTAAAAACCTTAATTAATTGTTTCATGAATACAGTTGTAAAATGTTCAACTGCAAGGCAAGAAGCTAGCTCATGAAAAAATTAATGAAGCTCTTTTTCACTGGTTAAATTTTGGCTAAAGTATATTTCATATTTGTGTACACAACACATGAATCATTTGATTTTAATTGGAAATTATGTTTTTTACACTTTTCACCACGTGACAACAGCCTGCATTAATTATTCAAAAAATAGCATTATCGGAAATGCCTCCATCATTTTGTTAAAAAGGGTTGTACTTTAAAAGTCCTCAGACAAATGGACAAAGCTACTTAATATGTCAGTAAATTCACTATCCTCAACATACCTTTTGTCAGTGAGCTGATCCTTTTCCGATATCTAAAATTTCACACTAACTTCTCAATACATCCTAAGCTATTGAGCCTTCTAATTGATTGAGCCTTCCCTGCATTTCCACCCTGAGAACCCACCACATCGCCTTAATCGATGATGGCCTCTGAGACCTTGTCCTTTAATCCTTCACTGGGTGTCAGCTGCTTTGTCATGGCAGCCCTGGCCTTACTTACTGTTAGTACTGTGACTATACAAAATAAATAAATAAATTAAATAAAATCTTGGTTGTTGCATATTTTTTGGTTTATAGTTTGTTTTAAACTTATTAATATGTTCTTGAAGGCGATGGCAAAGGATATTTCTGTTCCTTTGAATTATTATACAGTTTTTCACCATATGCAACAACTTGTTCCTAAAGGTAAGCTCTTTTTTGATTTTTAATTTATTTTTTAATAAATGTATTTATTTATAATTGTTTTAGGCTGTTTCATTGTGAGCGAAGGAGCAAACACAATGGATATTGGGAGAGGAATATTAATTAACAATTTTCCCAGGCGAAGGCTTGACGCAGGTTTGCTTTTGTTAAAACAAATTCATTACTGGGATTTCACTATTGATGAATTTTTAGGCACTTTTGGTACGATGGGGGTCGGTTTGGGGTTTGCGATAGCAGCTGCAGCTTGGTGCCGAGACTACTCTCCAAAAACGCAGGTCCTGTGCGTTGAAGGCGATTCCGCTTTTGGCTTTTCAGGGATGGAAGTCGAGACTATATTCAGGTATTTTACTTCAACTATGAAGATATTATGTATTTTATTCGTTTTGGGTTCGCAGATACAAACTGCCTATAGTGATTGTCATCGTAAACAACAACGGCATTTACGGCGGGTTCACAGAAGAGTTCTGGAAGGAACTGTTGAGTGAAGGACCCATGATGAAAACGTATGAATTAAAATTTCCCTTTCAGAAGAGACCAAATGGAAAAATTTGCAATTTTTTAGGTTGCCACCTTCAAGTCTTTCTCCAAACACGCATTATGAAATGATTTCTACAATTTGTGGCGGGAAAGGATTTTTCTGCACGACTATAGATGAGTTGCAGAATGCCCTTAAAGAAGGCTTCCAGGTGAATATATATATACATTTTTTAAAAATTGTCTACAAATGCAAGTAAAGTAAAATAAATAAAAGTAAAAATCATTCCTGTGAGGGCCAAACCGCTTTACAATACTTTTCCCATATTAATTTTTAATTAAAAACTAATATGGGCTTTGAACCCAGAACAATTAGCATAGCAAATACAAGTGGGACATCCTAACCACTTGACCACTGTGGTCTCCATGTTAATTTTTAATTAAAAAGCCATGCACTACTCTGGGATTCGAACCCAGAAACATTAGTGTGGCAAATATGAGTCAGACACCCTAACCACTTGGCCACCACTTGAATATGAGAAAAATTAATTTAAATTATACGAAAACAGGATGAGTTTTTGATCTGTTTTTATTGTTTTATTCCTCTAGTGTATAATGACATTTCAAACAGTTCGTTTCTCAATTTCTCATCAATTTTTGAAGTTAATTTTCTCTCGTAATCCGACAATATACCTAGTCCATATATTTTAACAATACCTTGCGGCCCGAGAAGCACAGGCAGTGCAAAATATGGAGAATCGGTCATAGTCGAAGCCACGTAGGCATTTTCCAAGACTTGTTCATTATTTATTGCCTTACAAAGTGAAAACGTAAATTCAGCAACAGCATGTGCAGCTGAGAGCGTAGCGTAGCCGTTGTTCTCTTTTGCCTTTATGATATCAGCATCTCCTTCCTGTATTTTCTTCGCCAAGTTCATTATGTCAGAAGTTGGAAAACATTCGAGTGAAGGAACTGACCGGGAAAGGACGGGTATAATCGTCGACGGCGTGTGACCTCCGATAACGTCGATTTTGACATCTTGTGTGCTTGTTCCTGTCATCTCGGCGATGAAAGTTTTAGCACGGACTACATTCAGCTTTGTAATGCCAAAAATTTTCTTGGGATCGTATACATTGTATTTTTTATAAACATCCGAGAAGAGTGGGACAAGAGTGTTGACTGGATTGGTAACGATCATGACGAAAGCTTTTGGACAATAGTTCGCGCATTCTTCAGCAAGTTGTTTTATAACGCACGCATTGGTGAAAAATAATTCTTCACTGGTCATTCCTGGTTTTGGCGCACTTCCAGCAACTATAGTGACGACGTCCGCTCCTACTAAGCAATGTCCTAATTGGTCTTTTTCAAAAGGCAGGACCGTTGAAGATGTGTCGATATGACTCAAATCTTTGGCGATCTCATATACAGGGTTCACGTCGTACAAAGAAAGTTTGTTGATGTAATTGCTCAATTTGTAGATAAGAGCAAGTGGTTGCCCTATCCTGCCCGCAGCTCCTAAAAGTGCCAAATTTATCTTGTATCGAATTTTAGACATAAACCTTCTTTGGATGAAAGTTGTACAAGCCATGACTGAAGCGTTTTTTCAAAGGAGAACAGTAGGAATTTGGATGAACTGAAAACAATAATTTTAATTGGTGTTTAATAAGAACTTGGAATTGACATAATTGAAATGTTTATCTTGAAATTTAAAGTTTCATTTAAACATTATCTGGGTAGATGTCCTTAGCCCATAAAGAGAGCAAGTAAGAATTAGGGCATCGGTGGCCGCAACGGTTCAGGTATTGACACAGCACTCATCACTGTAAGGTAAAGGTCCCGGGTTCGAACCCAACATATAAAAATGGGCTTTTTTTTTTTCAAAAACACCGGCACCCTGAGGGTTGAGATAACCTCTGCTGTTGCGAACACTCATAAAAAAATAATAATAAAGTAAGACTTAAACTTAACCAACCTGTTTGGAGGAAACGACTGCTTTATTGTATTTAGTGCTTGATAAATGTCACATTTTTGTATTTCTTTGTTGTGTTTTTAGATTGAATGTATTTATTAGTGTGAATGTGTAGTGGTAGAAAGACAATGGAAGAATGTCGAGTACTCCATCCCTAATTGAGTATAGGAAAAATTATATTTGAGAACGGGTGTGAGTGTGGGTGTATCTAAGTTTAAAAAGTACAAGTTTTGGGGGCTGAAATGACCTAGTCGAAGACATCCCCTGGACCTAGATGAATAAAACAAAGGTCTGACCGAAAACTGGCAAAACCTCATGCAGGTTAAGCTTAATCTGTACATACAGGGTGAATTTAACCCCAATTTAAGGTTTTTAGTTGAGATAAAAAAGTCAATGGCATGAGCGGGATAAAAACCTTAATTAATTGTAATATATTAATTGGTCAAGCAGACCATGAAATTAGTGAATTTAATGATTAAAAATGAAGTATACTTCACTAAAGCTCTCCGTGGCCATTTCATTTGTCGTCGAGAATTCAACCCGATTACACGACATTTGAAAAATGGCAAAAAGGAGNGGCACGAGCGGGATTCGAACCCACGATCTTCGGCTTGATACGCCGCTGCTCTACCACTTGAGCTATCGTGACTTCGATCCACTCAGACACCAACTTCCCATCTCAACCCCACCATTTGAATTTTCCCTCCTTTTTGCCATTTTTCAAATTTCAAAAAAATTCAAATTTTGAAAAATGGCAAAAAGGAGGGAAAATTCAAAAGGTGCGGTTGAGATGGGAAGTTGGTGTCTGAGTGGATCGAGGTCACGATAGCTCAAGTGGTAGAGCAGCAGCGTATCAAGCTGAAGATCGTGGGTTCGAATCCCGCTCATGCCATTGACTTTTTTTCTCAACTAAAAACCTTAATTAACTGTACTATTTCCAAGCATTGATTTTTCATAAAACTAAATGTTTACTATTTTAATTGATAATAAATTAATTGTTTTCTGAGGGAAGAAAGTTTAAGTGTAAAGTGTGTGTAAAGTTGAACTAATACAGATAAATTAATACATTATTTATCTGGATATGTTGTAAATAATTCGGTTTATGTGTTGTGCAATTGTTTTTCTTATATTATTATTTTAAATTTTATGAGTTATGTTAAATCTGATCTTTAAATTTATTGATATATGTTATAGAATAAAGAAGGGCCGACTATGATAAATGTAATGATCAATCCTTCTGCGGACAGGAAACCTCAAACATTCGCGTGGCTGACTGAATCAAAATTATAATGTTATTCTTGTTATCTGTGTTTTCAAAGTGTAATCAATTGTTGAAATATATTTTTATATGAGTACAATGTGAAATTTATTTTAATTGGTAAGCCTTGAGCCAGTGGCACAGCCACAACCAGAGCAGAGGTGGCCACGGGGCTTTATCGGGGACGGGTCGGTGTCACTATTGATACCTCTAAGCTCACTGGACATACTTTTATCTCAGAGTTTGGGAACAATGAATTTCTTCTAAATTGGGTTACAGTGTACATCCCAAAACTCTTCCTCCTGTGGGCAAATGGGTCGCTACGGTTTATTAGTAGGTGTGTTGGTCTATATGCTTGTTTGCAGAATTTGCCCCTGCCGTGTTGGGATATACCATTCTTCTTCAGTAGCCCATTCAGTCTGCAGTGTTCTGTTAAGAATCCTGTCAGGATTCAAAGTTTGTTCATTTGATGCTAAGATGATTCTATTGTTTCTTTCCTTCCAAAATTTGATAGAAGGTTCTTGGATTGCTTTTGCCCATTGTTTAATAATTTTCATTTTGTCTAAGGTACTCATTGCGGTGTGAATCTCCATACCACAAGGCTCGGGACATATCACCGGTATAGTAGCCCCTTTCCTTGCAAGAGCACCAAGTTATGAAACCCAGCTCGTTGTTACTATCTATGTAAATTTTGTAATGGGTCCTAGTTGTTTGATGTATTCTGAACCCGCAGTTATTTTAAGAATGAAAAATCTTAAGAAAAAAAAAACCAGGTAAGCCAGTTTTAACCAGCAGGGAAAAAAGCCATTTTTAAGGAACGCTTTGAATTCCCGTCTGACAGCTTGGCAAATCTATCCAAGAGCCTGGAGTGTTAACAAACATAATAAACTTAAAGGGGGTCATAAATGGTGCCATGCAGTTCCAGAGGAAGAAAATATAAAGGATACCACCAACAGGAAGACCATAAAGAGTTTGCCCGTGACCATACCTTCTTGGTGTTGGTCTGTGAGTCGGTGAGTTCATGCTGAACCAGCATTGGGCCTGTCTTCACTCACAGCTTTGTTGAACTACTCAAATGCATTTTGCACCATCTTTAGTGAGTTCCTTCTAAAACTCGAGACAGGCCCTATAAGTGACCCAATGCAGCATGACTCCTAGACCAATTGGGAGCCAAAATCTTAAAGTTTTTATTGGCCTGACTATCTAAACTTTCACTTTATTCATTGTCAACTCTTGTGCACAAAATTGGATTGAATGCACCTCAATTTGTTGGCAGTCTTTTATGTTTGGAACATAAATGTGTAAGGATAGGAGACGAGTGCAGTTTACATTCTGTTGAGAGAGAAGAATGCATTGCCACTATTGTGTTATAACACACTAGTCTTTATAGACTTTGCTGTTTGTTTGGTGTTTTCTCATGAAGTGTTTTTGTCCACCATACTAGATCATATGTAACCAATGGTCTGACCATTTTGACCTAAACACATAATTAACAGAAAAATCAACAATTACAACTCAACACTAACACCATCCACTATTACTAATAATACTACATTAAATCTATCGAATACAAACAAACCAGCATACATTTCCATACCATTTATCCAAGGCCTATCACACAAATTAAACACATTTCTCCTGTCTGATAACTTCAAAATAGCTTTCAAAAATTATAAAACAATTCAAACACTTTTTTACAAAATTAAAGATCCCACACCAATAACAAATAAATCTGACGTAATCTACAAGATCAACTGTTTAAACTGTCTAGCAACTTACATCGGTCTTACATCCCAATATCTAGACAAGAGAGTAAAGCAACATATCTATGATTGCAAAAAAACCCAAGCAAAATCCTACAGCACTTGCTACCCACCATTTTGAACACCAACACAATTTCGACTTCAAAAATCCAAAAATATTACATACAGAACAAAACAAATATAAACGTAATTTCTTAGAAATGGATTATATCAACCGAAACAAACACAGCATCAATTACATAACAGATACATTTAAACTCAGTCGCAGCTACGCCAATATCATTAATCACATTCAATACAGATAACATACCTATATCATCACATTACATTCCACACATCAAATATTTTTCACATAGTCTAATTTCCCAACAATTCAGCTTTCCTTTTCCTATTTATCCCTTTCTATATACTCCTGAAAGGATAATCTGGCCGAACCATTACCAACACATTTTTTCCCTTCGTTGGCTCCTTTCACCTCAAAGAAGCCTTATACAAAAATGTCTTTTCTATACCGACATCCTTCCCCACCCCTTCAAAATCCAACGTATATAAACACAAAATAGCAAAATCTCACTGGCACTCTCGACACGACACGCAAGAATGACACAATTACACAGAAGAGAGAAAAAACACTTTGAGTGAGTAGAAATATTTTGATTGAATATATAAAGTATATTTTGCATTGTATAAATTCACTTTTCCACATCCAAAATTTAATTGAAATATGTAAACAATGTTTGTAAATCCCAGGCCCTGAAGATGATCTCAATAAAGATCGAAACGTTGGCACGATAAAGAAAATGTTTTTCTGAAACCTACATCACACCAGACCGCATCTCACGATTTCTAAATAAAGGTCTGACCATTGTGGCATATAACAAATATATCGCCCTGGGGTTTATTCCTCATTTTTTGCTGGATAATGTCTGATCAATGCTTACATAGTGCATGGGATTATGTATTATGTCATTTAGTATTGGTACTTGATTTCATTGGTTAGAGCTTCATATTTTAGTGTGAGTGCTTTTAGATTTAGCTTCCTTCTTTTTATGAAGGGTGTGAGAGTTGTTTTCTTAAGGTTTAAACCAATTTTCTCATGCCATCTTTCTACAATGTTTGAAGGGTTTTGCAACTGAATTGACAGTGTCATCAAATTACTCAATTATCATCAGGTGTTATGCATCACCTATAGTATGGCAGCCGACATTAAGTTCTGTTATCTACTACTAGGAACAATAGAAGTTGTGATAGTACGTCAGCAAATGCAGCTCAGGCTTTTGGGTAATTGGTATACGAATTGTTGAGCTGATTATGGCAATGCAGCAGGCCAGAATCAATTACATCGAGTTGCATATGCGACTAGGCTATTAGATTCATCACACAGAAGCTGCTTGTGTGGTCTGGGCTGGGGATGTTACATGCACAGATCAACTGCTGGTATGCCTTCTTCTTACATAGGTCTGTTTTTAGGGCGTTTCTGGTGATAGATGGTGCATGCAGTGTAGACCACGAAGGCAGAGGTGGTTTCAAAAAAAGTACTGCAAATATGATACTTGTGTTTATGTAGGGTTATGGTTCCTACTATCTGCAAGATGAGATCCATGCTATCCAACTCTATGCTCAAAAAACGAAGACCTTCGACATAAAGCCAAATGTTTCAAATTAATGAAGGAGCATCGCCTAAACCTGCCTGCATAAAATGAGAAGAAAGAGAAATGTTAAAAAAAAGCTCACCACGTTTTCAAAATAGTATGTGCCCTCCTTGGTGGCAATCGACAACTATTCAAATTTGTATTGGATTGGCGGGAGAGCGGACAGAAGACTGCATTTTGGCGAAGAGATGGTCAGCTGATGTTTCACCCATATCCAAAAATAAATCGATTGGTCTTTTTTAAAAATGATTTATTGAATTATTTGATTAAATAAATAAATAAAAAATAAAAAAAAAGTTAAAAGACGGTCAAAACACGACACTTTTTCGGGAAGTTTTATATTTGCGTGTGGTTATGGTACAAAATGATGAACCTTTTGGACGACTTTTTTCCCATTGTAGTCCAATTTGTGGAATAAGATTAAAATTTTGTCTACTTATGCCATTCACGCTAATAAATTACGTGCACCCTACCTCAGAGTACTCAACATTACTAGGGGTAATTGAGGATAAGCTCCTCTTTTCACGCTAATAAATTAGAAACATACCAATATCATTCTCATTACCCCAAAATACTCTATATTCCTCGGGGTAATTGAGGATAAAAGCCTCCATTCACGCTAATAAATTACATTCACCCTACTCAGAGTACTCAATATTCCTAGAGGTAATTGCGGTTAAACCGTGCCATTCACGCTAATAAATTACTAATTTGTTGTTGTCGTGAGGAGCGGTCAAGAAAGAGTTAGTTTAGCAAAAAAAAACATTTTTTTATTTTTTTGCCGCGTTACGACCTTTATTCTGGTCATCTTCAGAGCATAACGTGTCGTGCTCTTCTTGTGGTGTCATATTGGTGTTGAATGAAAGTGTGAAACATTCACACTATCCCAGAGTACTGAATATTCCAAGGGGTAATTGTGGTTAAACCCTGCTATTCACGCTAATAAATTACACCCACACTGCCACAGAGTACTCAATATTCCTAGGGGTAAGTGAGGATAAACCCTGCCATTCACACTAATACATTACAAACACACCAATATCATTCTCACTACCCCAAAGTACTCGATATTCCTCCATCACGATAATAAATTACATTCACACATTCATTCACACGACCCCAGAGCATTCGACATTCCTGGAGGTAATTGTGGTTAAACCCTGCCATTCACGCTAATAAATTACAAACACACCAATATCATTCTCACTACCCCAAAGAACTCGATATTCCTCTGGGTAATTGGGAATAAGCTCTTCCATTCACGCTAATAAATTACATCCACACTGCCACAGAGTACTCAACATTCGTCTGGTACTTGTCGATAAGCCCTCCATCACGATAATAATTACATTCACACATTCATTCACACGACCCCAGAGTATTCGACATTCTTCGAGGTAATTGTGGTTAAAACCTGTCATTCACGCTAATAAATTACAAACACACCAATATCATTCTCACTACCCCAAAGTACTCGATATTCCTCTGGGTAATTGGGGATAAGCTCCTGCATTCACGCTGATAAATGACATCCACACTGCCCCCACAGTACTCAATATTCCTCGGGGTACTTGTGGTTAAACCCTGCCATTTACAATAATAAATTACATTCACACTACCCCCGGAGTACTCAATATTCCTCGGGGTAATTGAGGATAAGCTCCTCCATTCACGCTAATAAATTACATCCACACTGCCCCAGAGTAGTCAATATTCGTCGAGGTAATTGCGGATAAACTATTTACGTTAATAAATTACATTTTTATTACCCCAGAGTCCTCAATATTTTTAGGGGTACTTGTGCTTATGCCCTGCCATTTATGGTAATAAATATTTGTGCGAATAGAGGGTGGAAGTGGTGGAAGAACGAGAATTAGAATCGACAGTTGCTTTCGTAAACTTTTTAAAAGTGCTGGGCAAAGTAATTAGCATTAATGGATCCATCAGAAGAATCATTATCATACCTACATATGGGAGGGCATAGAAGAAGACTTTTTCGTGGAATTTATATAACCCCAAAATTTTTTAACATTTGCCTGAATTATGTTTTCAATGTACAATATTTCGATATCATATTTAATAGTGTATATATCTGTTAGGAAATGTCTTACGTGTAATGTTGTCGTTGTTGTTAAAAATGCTGTTGTTAGGGAAGCGTTCATTTAGTGTGGGATGTTTTGGTTTTGGGACGGATTATTTTACAATTCACACGCTGAGGGTGTGAACAGGTGCAAAATGGGTTGGCGGGAAAATTAGTAAAGAAGAGGGAAAACGCGGCCATCTGTCGCAAGTTGCTCGGTCCGCCCGCGAGGTCGCTGTCGACAGTCGCCTTTCTATTTACACGACGGACGGACGCCTCGCTCGCCGAGCTGATTCGCCTCGGACCTGGTGAAAAAAGCCCAACCCCAGCCTCGGACCGTATTCGGATCTAAGTCGGAGAACCGGCCTTTTTCCGAGTCTCGCCGCCTCCGGGGGTCCTTTTCGCGTTCAGCCCTCCAATCCGTTAACAAACCGTTCCGCCATATTTGACCGTTTGCTTGTTTACGACGAGGCCGAGATCGTCCCAGGTAGCCGTTTTATCGTGTAACGTTGCTCTTTTCGTGGCGGCTCCACGCGGCCTCGGCCCCGACCCCGACGGAATCCGTTTTAAGCCCAGGAATGGAGCGGACGGGCCCGTCCCGACAGGGCACTTTCCAGGCCTGAGGCCCCCCCGTCCTGGCCGAAAGCATGCCCTCTTAGCCAGCCTCCGCACACCTTTGCACATCTACATCTGCAAATGTCAACTTTTCCTCTCCAAATAATTATAAGAAATTCAGAGATGGTCGAAATGACGATTTCCTGGAGGCGACTTCTATTTTCACGACGTTCCCAGATTCGCATCAAGAGGCCCTAGGAAGCGAAAAGGTTGGTTTTTACATCTGACAACACCTTCAAAGACACAATTTTATCACAACTCGTGTCACAGATTTATTTCCGATTTTTAACCTAATTTCCTCGGCCTTCACACCTCCAGCCTTATCAACGGACGAAAATACCAACAAAGAGGAAAAACTGTAATTTTCCTCGATATCAACATGACATTGGAGTTTTCCCACTCCACACACTTTTCACTCAAAATAAACCTGCCCAAATTAACCTTACACTATGTATATTTATTAGTTTTACTTATTATATAAAATTATCAACTGGGATTTACAATAAAAAACATAAAAGTTGGCAATAAATTCATCCGGTGAAATTTACCACAAATAAATCTTGGATTATATACTTAATCTCTTTTGATTCATTGCCATTTTAGATTTGATTAAAAGGCCAAACTAAACTGCTCAAAAATGATTAGGATATTGCCAATTTTGTAGTTTTTACTTGCCCTAGCGTTTTTATTATAAATTGCGTTAAAATTTATTGTTTTTTACTGAAGGAAAATTTAATTAAAGAATTTTGAAAACTGGCAAAATAAAAGGTTTTAATTCTCTAATTTTGATTATTGGACACAATAATTATCACAACACTTTCACACAAAACCAATATGACACCACAAAAATAGCACCACACTTAATGCTCAGATCACCTGAATAAAGGTCAAAACGTCAGTAAAAAAAGAAAAAAAAAGTGTTTTTCTAAACTACCTTATTCTTGGTCGTTCCTCATGACTTCAATAACAATTATCACCGTGTATAAAAAAAACCTCTGTACACCTGTTAGGCATAATGTTAGTAACGTGGTTACTAATTTCATAAGGAATTTCACTCCATAGATGTTGTCATGCTTGCAGTCAGTTGTTGCATGTCAACTGGCTGCGGATGGTGATCAAAAGCCTTTTCTGCAACGCATCCCACATGTGATCATTGGGATTGAGATCTCGGGACAAGGGGGATAGGGTTGATTTTCTCCTCAAGTTTTTTTAAACTCTGCCTCTATGAGGTTTGACATCGTTATTCAGAAATTGAAAATTCTTGCCAGAGAGATCTCTGGTTTGAGGGATGTATTCCTCGATAATTCCTTGGACATAACGCACTGCAGTGAGGTTGTCTTCGACAAGATGGAGTTTAAACCCAGCCCAGACGGTTACACCGCCTCCTCCAAACTGCACTGAAGGGAGGACGAACTGGGGCGTTGTACGCATACCCTGTTCTTGGAAGACTCTTTGATGCCTGCTATCATTATAGACAGAATCGTGACTCATAAGTATAACTGCATTCCAATTGGTGTTCTCTTCTATGTGCTCGTGCCATATTGAGTTGCAGGTAGCAGCCTGTTACTGCAGGTTGTCTCTAAGGACATACGACATGAGGTCAAGTTTGATAACGGTCGTGCCAAAACATCTTGTACTTCATTTAGAATCTGGCGGTCACTATGGAAAGGGTTCTGTCTTGCAGCAATGACAATATTTCTGTCCTCCCTTAGCGTCGTAATGCGCTGAGATCCACTACCAGGCAGAGAAACGTCAACTGCCTCTGCAATATCCACTTTCCTGTGACCTCAATGACTTATTTTCACAATAATATTGCGAACTTCTGGTTGAAGTTGATGTCTTACAGAATACAACTGAATTAAAATGGAGAAAAATTGTTTGTTTACAAAATGAGTAATCTTAATGTTCACTATTCTTAAGTAAATCCATTATTAAAAATGAGGATTAACAAATTTTGGATTTTTGGTTTGAATTTTTGATTTTGTTTTTTCTGTTGGACGCTGAAATATTAAATTTGATCCCATTGGTGAAAATAAGTTTCCCAAAATGCATCAGATTAAATGGTTCAGACTGGAGAGTTTTCCCAGTTCTTCTTACATAGGGCTTCTTTCTGGCACCTTGTTTTTAATAGTAAGTACTGTTTGGGCTGTAACTGAAATATTTTTATCCTGATACAAAATACTTGAAAGTTTTGTTGCACTTGTTGGTGGGTTGGTGATCACTTCTTTGAGAACAAAACATTTGGGTGGTGTTTAATTTTTTTCTTGCTGGTCTAAATGCGATTTTCAGCATTAATGATCTTTTTATACCAGAAGATCGTGTTATGAATTGTCGAGGGAAGTCGCTGAAATTATAAGCACAACTATGGAGGGCACCTTAAAAACAAACTTGGCATTTAAAATAAACAACCAGTTTGCTCACAGTACTACTTACCCTGTGTTAAGTCAGTTATTTACAGTGTACTTAATATTAGTTATCATGGTATGTAAAATTATCGATAGATGATTTACAAAAACTAAAAAGTCGATGACAGCAGGTGAAGCCAGTGGAAATATATTTTAATCTTATTTGATGTGTTGCATTCCTCAGATTTGATAAAAAGGCCGGACGAGTTTAGTAAATCGTAAAACAATCATAACAAATACATTTTCAGCATTTAAACTATTAAACTTTTTCCTTTAATATTAATATCTGTTTACCAGTTAAACATATCAAAAAGTTCAAAAATAATTAAGTTATTGAACATGCAAGCTTGACTATAATGTTTTGCCGCCTTAAAAACAAACTTGTCCAAAATCAACCATTCAGTATGTACTTAATATTAGTTATGCTATTTAAAATTATGAAAAGATGATTTACAAAAACAAAAAAGACGATCACAGCACATGAAGCTAGTCGAATTTACTACAAATCTTGGCTAAAATAGTTTCTTATTTGATGTGTTGCCATTGCCAGATTTGTTAGAGTGGCTGGATGACTTTTGCACACGTACAACAAACAACAGTGCCTCACTGAAGGTGGCACAAAGCCAATACGCTTTGATTTACGTAAAGTCTGTATTAAATTATCCACTTGATCACAGCAGATTCACCCCGTAGCATTTACTATACATTTTGGCTAATGTACTTCTATCTTATTTCATTTATTGCCATTCTCAGATTTGATAACGGGGCTACAAGGTGGAAATAACAAAAGTCAAACACGATGAGTCAAACATGACGTCCATAATTTGAAAACATTCCTGCCATTCAGAGTAAATGTGTACAAATTAACATTTGTACATCGTTTCATATTGGTGTGTGATTCGTGTGACTATTAATGAACCACTCGACAATATTTGATTGATAGCTGTTAAAAACTACCATATAAATCATAAAAAGGAAAGTAAACTGTTTGTCAACATATTTTATTTATTTGATAACAAGGCCTATAAAGAGAAATGTTTTGTAAATAAAGTAAAAACTACATTAAACTTTCAATAATCAATCATATCAATTGTATTTATAAAATAGTTTTTCTTTTCTGTGACATCTCCAGATAAAAATATCAAAAATAAAGAATAGAGTATATTAAATTTGATAATGTGACTACAAGGTCAACCTTAATGAGATCTTCAGTGTGATGAACTTGTTGCTTCGTTTTGTCTATCATTGTTGAGGCTTTTCACTACTTGGTTAGCCAGTGGTTCAGTATTCAACAAAGCGAGGATAGGTCTGAACCACAGTTCAAGGAAAAATGCTTATTAAGCATTACTAGTTTTCCCTATTTAAAAACAAACTTTTCATTCAAAATAAATTAACCTTTTGACATATGCGGTGTGGCATATAACATTTAAAGTCGTCAATAAAAGATTTTTGTACATTTTTTAGTCCTTATTTCCTGTGCAGATTTTTAGAGTATGGATCTCAGCATGGAAAATTGACGACTTGGGGCCTTTCGATAGGTCAAAATTTGGGCCTTTGACTCCTCTCCTCCCTCTCCTCACTCTACATTCCATTTTAGGTCTATAAAGCCACTATTAGTTTCAGGTTTTTATTATTCTGATATTTTTTATATGGATAGGCCTGCTAATTTTTTATTCATTTAATTAGATTGTCATTCTAGTAAAAAATTCATTATTATAATTTGTTCCGCTTGTAACTATTACAGATTTTTATGAATGTATATAAAAATATTTGAAATCGAATAATTTATATTGAACATGCCAAAGATATGTTTAGAAAAAATTATTTTCAAACATTGACACAAATTAAAAAAAAAAAAAAAAAAAAAAAAAAAAAAAAAAAAAAAAAAAAAAATACAAGTTCTGCTAGATATGGTGAATCGAATTTGTTGTAAACAAATTTTTGGATAAAAGCATGCAAATTTCAATTAGAAATGCTTTTTAAAAATTGCTGTCGAAGCAATTATTTCGCTATGAAAGCAGGCAAATAGTTGACAATGGGCCTCTATCTCTTGATTGCGTTTGTGTGAAAGGCTTTTTCCAGCTTTAGTTGTAAAAACTTATCTGCTTTAAGTTCAAACGTCCTTTCTCTGTAGGGTCTTTAAAAATAAAAGATTTATAATTAATTAAAATATATTCGAACTATTTTAATTATTGACATTGCCGAACAGGAGTTGGTGTGATGTTCACTAGAACTGCATGGAGTATTACATCATGCCTCAAGTAGACAAAAGTGCGTCTACGTACTCCCCACCTGTTCAGTATGTGTCTGCTATCGGACCGGCCGCTTCTGCGCTCGTTCGCTCAGACATTAACAAGGTAAACTAGCGTAAAGAGTTGGCCCTTTAGAAATAATTCATCGCCTTGCCATTTTCCCCATGCAGTTTGGTGTGTCAAGTGACATCCTCACAAGTTGTGACTGGAGCGCTGTCATCCACCGGCCTGCCGAAGATTCAGAACCCGAAGACCTACCGTCTACGGTGGACATGGATGCTATTAAGGTAGGATATTCTTTTAAAAACAGATTTTTTTTAAGCGGTACTTTTAATTTTAGTAAATGAAATGAATCCGTATTTAAAAGACACACATATAAATTTAATTTTGTGGTTTATAGGAGCCAGCAACACCTTTACCTCCTTTGACTCCATGTCCACCGGCCCAGGAGGAAGAATCTGATTCTGAAGAAGAGAGCTCAGGCTCCGAAAGCGATGGTGAAAGCTCTTCTAACTCAAATTCTGAATCTCAGGTAATTTTCATTAACAGCAAATGACAAACGTGAGTGAAAATATTTTTTTATGCCTTCTTATTTTAGGATGACTCAGCTTCAACAAGGAGTGATAGTGACAGTGATAGTTCTGAAAGTTCTAACAAACCACAGGGTGAGAGTTCAGGAAGTACCTCTGACTCTCAAAGCCCTCAAACATCTTTCAGCATAAGAGAAACAAATTTTGAGCAGGTAATTTTCTAGACTTATTTTGTTATAATTTAAATTTTATTTTATTTATTTTGTGTTCGTAGGGAGGTTTAAAATTGAAATTATCAGCAACTAAACCGAAATTAAGGCCAGACCAGGCTACATCATCATCAGACTCTTTCTCATCTTCGTCTGAGGAAGACGTTAAGAAAGACGAGGACAAGAAACGGCCAGTGAGGTTGCAGCAGTTCCGACGGAGCTTGCGTCCCAGCTCCAGGCCGCCCGTGCTGGAGCCCGAGGAACATCTGTCCCCTCCGAAGCTCTTGCCTCAGCAGCCGATAAAAGAAAAATCGCCCCCGGAACTGTCGAAAATGCCGGTTAGAAGGACGAGACAATCACCGATCAAGAGAGTTCCACCGAAACGTCAACCTGTCAAACGACCGCTTCGCCCTGTCAGAAAGTCTCCCAGGACAAAACCAAAGGTGAGCGAATTTTTTTTTTTTTTTTTTTCTGACAACATGCTTGTCGAAATAATATTATAATTGTATATATTATCACCTTTGTTATACAATGACTTACGCTTGAGTTGGCAGAGAAAAAAACAAAAAGTGAAAACCAAGTTTATCATATGACCTTGCTATAATTCACACACTTACTCAGAGTAACAACTCCGGAAAGATTATAATCAGTCTGGCTGAGAATATTCAATTTTGAGGTTCCTGACACTGACTTAATTTTTTTTTAATTACTCTATATTTGTATGCGTATTTCTAATTGTTTTAAAGATTTGTTTCATTCACTTTAATGGTAAATAAATTTACCATTTAAAACTATCTGCATTTTAATTTGTTTATTTAATTAATGTTAATTGAGAGATTTATAAGATAGACTTATAAAATATCGCAAAGCTTTTTAAATAACAAGTTCAACCTGTTTAAAACATAAATCAATCAAAACCGTGTTTGTCTTATTCATTGATATAAGTTATAAGCTATGTAATGCTTAATTTATGTATTACAAATTAATTAAATAGCGAATAGATAAATATTTTCTTGAGGAATAGACAGGCCACCAAAATTTAGTCAATGCATAGTTGATTTTTTTAAAATTAATTAATGAATTATTTTTGCCATGGGGGTTTGCGACGCAGAGGTCACATGAACGAACCCTTGATGTGCGGGTGTTTAAAAAAAACATTTGTATGTACCAGACAGCCTGAATTCATACCTGGGACCTATCCTTACAGTGATGAGTCATGTGTCAATGCCTTTACAATTGCAACCAGCAACTCCTTGAAATTATTATTAGCTTTGGTCATACATATAGTTATTCCATGTACTTTCAAAAGTAAATTTTAATAACATTATAAAGAAATAATATAAATTTCAGAACAGCAGGTTAATTTAGTCTTAACCGATAATTTTTGTCTGCCTATTCTTGATTGGTTGGTCTGTCATGCTTCAGCCGAACTCTGAAGGTGATAAAGTCCCATTGTAGTGCCAAAATGATCAGTGATGACCAAATTACAGGTGCATCATCATGCAGACCACATTCCGAAACCTTGTGATATTAAATAAATATGATTAGCTTGTACATTGTGGGTCATCGGTTGACTTGGCATTCATCACTGTAAAGGTCCTGGGCTTGAATCCAGCGGCCATGTATGTATGAAAGGGCTTTTTTTTTAACACCGGCACTCCAGAAGTTTATATTTCTTCTGCTGTTAAAAAAAAAATCAGAGTTAAGCCTTAAGGAAAATTTAAATTTAATGTCTATACAATAAATGATTTTCCCATTCTTTTCAACACCTCTCCAGTTGGCTGCTGAGTCATAAATTAAATTAGCAAATTTAAATATATTTATGGCGTGGTATTCCCCCCCATCTGATAAACCTATATAAGCAATATATTCTGAATAAAACGACAGCAAATAATTTAAATGAAAATTGCAATTAAGGCCCAGCCAGACTCACTCCTTCATCAATAACAATAGAAACGGGGAATAAATCCCAGTGAAATGCACATGTTATTTAGAAGAAAACAATTAATTAGACTGGACCGCTCATACATTCTGTCACGTTCTATATCGCAGACTGTGACCATTGGATCATTTCCTGCTGTGACAGCTTTCTGACCATAATGATTAACATGTTGACACACTGCTCAAGAGTAAAGAATCCAGCAGTTCTGGAATTCAAAATCAACATACTTCGAAAACATCTTTTATTTTTTTAATACCTGCATCCTTAGGTCATATAACCTTGTAGTTGAAATACCCTCATGAAGAAATAATAAAAAATATGAAACTGTAAATAACCTAATTGCAAGACTAGAATAGGTCATTTCATGGCAGGATTTGAAAAGAGTTCAACTTCCTTCGTAGACGGCATGGAAAACAAAACGTCTTAGAAATATTAAATATTTATAAACCTTTTGCTTTCCGCCTCTAATTAGCTTGTTTGCATACTCTCGGATAATTTTGTTCACTGTGTCAGAATTTTTTAAAATATTTATTTTCTACTTTTTTCCCACATCATTTCCAACATGTATAGAGATCTGTTGTTCCATGTATAATTAATTCACTTCCTTTCGTTTCCCTTTGTAAAGGCTGTAAAACCATCCAAATATATGCAACAATCTGACTTGGTTTTTAGAGTGTGTTTGTGAGAGAGAGAGAAAAAGAGAGAGAGAGAGAGAGAGAGAGAGAGAGAGAGAGAGAGAGAGAGAGAGAGAGACAACAACTTTTAAGCAATATAATTTTTAAACATTGTTCTTTCTAACCCCCAATAAAAAGATTGTATATAGGTAGGAATTTTTTTTCACCAAGGTTAATATGGACACATTCTGATATCTCAATTGTGTAAGTATACCGGCAGAAAATGCTTAGATCTTGAGGTTCATTCAGGAACCTATTAAAAAAAAAAAAAAATGCATATCATCCAAGAACATATACTTTTTTGTATTATAGTGATAATTTTAGAAATGATAAAAGAATTAATCGGATGCTGGTTTTATGATTTTCTCTTTAAAAGATAGGTGTATCCACCACTTTTTTAGTCACAAATAATCTCGATTTTGGTCTTAAAATTCTTAAAAATTTTTAAATTTGGGTACATATTGACATAATTAAGTTTTAATAGATGGTTTCAAATTTCTTTGAAGACACAATATAGTGGTAGAATAGAAATGATGAATAATGATTCACTTTTTGTAAATGATCATTCTACTCACAGATTTGTTGTTTACAATGAACTGGATTTCGAGCATTAAACGCTCATCATCAGGTTGAAGGAGTTACAAACACTGCCTGATCCACTGCCAACGCTTTCCAATAAGAAGCTAGTTTTTAGTGCTGCTCAATTTTGAACGTGAATTACAACACAACTAAATATTATGCTGAAAATACTGTAAAAAAAGAATTTTAAATTAATGATTAATTTGTATGTCAAATGTCATTTACGTACATGTTTAAAATAGAATGTAGATTAAAATCGATGTTATTTATGATCTGTCTCCATGTTTAATTTTACATTTTTTTATTTAAAATTTCTGAAACCAATCTAGGTCCCTCCCTCTGGAACTCTGTAACATGGTTGTATTTAAATTTAAATTGTGTTTTGTTTCATTTAGATGGTCTTTAAATTCAGAAAATTTGTTCGATTTAGGCAAGTGTTCTTTAACTCTTGTTTTAATTTCTCAGCCACTTTGTTTCTATATATTTACTATCACAATCATTATAAAAAAAAAACCAAAAGTTTGTAAACCCCGTTTTTTGACAAGGTGTCAGCCTTGTCTTTAGGTTTTGAGAGGATGTTTTTTGTTAAAGTAAAGGTAAATGGGATTTTCGTGAACATTTTCCCATCAACATCGACAATAATGTTTTTCAAGAAGTATGGTACACAAATGGAGGACGCATAGGGCCCCGCCATTTTCCCTCAAAAATACATATGTACGCAAATTTTTTATTGTTATAAAATATCTTGTCAAATAAATAAATAATATGTAATATCTGAGAGGATGTTTCTTACTGAACAGCCACCTCAAAAAGCTCTAAAACCTTCTCGTTTAAGAATTTCATATACTTTTTTGATAGTTCACCAATGTATGGCAAGCAACAAAACCTAAAGCTTAATTTTTGGTGGGTTTTGAGTCAGATAGTTGTTGCTTTTAACGTTAACTTTTTTTATTCTTTTTACTAGTAACCTATCAATAATTATTTCTTGATTTCTATTGTTTTTAGCCAAGGTTTTGATTGTTTTTAATCCTTTTTCATAATTAGTAGGCGTTATGGGACACCATACGGTCTATGAGCCAAATGAATCAGGCAGCTTTTTGGGTCCATCGGTGAGAAGAATCTGCAAGTGCCATGGTGTCTGCAGTTGTGGGTTTTCTATACAGGGTGAATTGCTACTCGTGCTACAAACTTCTCCAGTAGATTCTTCACCCTAAAATGAACAAAAAAGTTCATATTGTCCATGGTNGAATCGGACCATGGACAATATGAACTTTTTTGTTCATTTTAGGGTGAAGAATCTACTGGAGAAGTTTGTAGCACGAGTAGCAATTCACCCTGTATATGTTTATTTCAATTAGGTTATTTATCTTATTATCTATATTTCCAATTTAAATTTTATATGATGGTGTAAAGAATTAATACCAAAAATCCATCCAAAAAAAGGACAGATTTAACTAACTTGTTATTTAAAGTTGAAAAGAATTTTTTCAGTTTCCATGAATATTTCGTCACAAAGTGGAGATAATGAATGCCCCATTGGTAACCCTTTCATTTCAAAAATTTTATTATAAAATTTACAATAATTAGATATTAGGCATATTTAGAAGTGATCTATATCATATTTTGCTAATTCGTTAATGGTAGATATAAGTTAATAAGTTAGTTATATAAGTTAATTGTAGATGTAATATCTTAATATGCCTACTATCTAATTATTGTAAATTTTATGAAAAGAAAGGGTTACCAATGAGTCTATTGTCTCCACTTTGTGCGGAAACATTATTGGATAACTTAAAAAATTTTTTTCCAAATCAAATACTAAATTAATTAAATCTGTCCTTTTTTTGGAAATGCTTTGTGGAGCTATTTTATGTATATTATGTAACGCTAGTGGATCTAAAATAAATCCTCCAATTAATTAATTCTTTTCACCATAATATAAATTTAACATTGGAAAATAAAGATGGTTAAGCTTTTTAGACTTAAAACTGTCCGTAATTAATGACCTAATTGAAATAGATGTATATAGAAAACACTCAACATGATACCAGCAGACTTTTCTCACAAATGGACCCAAAAAACTTGCTAAATTCATTTGGCTCATAGACTGTATGCTGAAACTCCCATTAACACCTGCTAATTATAATAAAGAATTAAATTAGAACAATTAAAACCTTGGCTAAAAACATTAGTTATCAAGAATTATTTAAAGGCAGGCACTAGTAAAAAATAATTTAAAAAAAATAAC